TTGCTCAAGTGCGTTGTATGGTACGTGGTCACTTGCTACTACACACAGATCTGCCGGCCTAATACTGTTCCATTCGAATTTCTGTGGACAACCCATTTGGTGAAATTCCATCATTAGTCACTCAATATCGTCATCGACTGGATCTATATCTTATTGAAAAAGTCAGAGGCAGCTTTTTTCACAGTGGCTCCCATAGTGCTGTATACTGCCATTTTGACAAGTTTCTTTGAATAATGGTCATGGTCCCACTGAGGGTAAATTGGCTCACATTTTGTGCTTACATTTCCTGAAGATGCATCACTGTGCACATCCCTGTCCTGACGGTGATAATGTATGTACGGACTGGTATCTCCAAGTTTGAGATAAGAAGTTGTTCCTTATAGGGCCCCCTTAATAATCTCGCTTCATTTCCCCTTTTAGTTTCATTGTTTCATTTTCAAAGTGCCATTCTCGTCCCCAATTAAGAGGTAATTGCATTGAGGCTGTTCCTTCAACTATGGCTCACAGGATACAAGGCATCCATCATGGACGATTTTAGTGTCAGCAGTGTTTCATCAAGTTTGTTTTCAAGACGCACATCTCCAAAAAAATATATTCTTTGAGCTGTCAGTAGCAATTTTCAGCCATGGCCTAGACTCTGGCTGTTTAGTTTTGTCAATTCAGTGGTTTTTTTTTTTTACAAGATTGGCAACAGTGCCAGCAGCACTCCATCCGGTTTCCGTTTCACCGTCAAAGTGTCCAAGAATCAATCACTTGAGTTGACATCAGTACGATTGGCCTTGTTTAGACCATCTTCAGTTTGAAATGAAACAGCCCTGTCCTACTCAGCTTTCATTTTCAAGACAGAGCTCTCCATCAATTGAATAAAAAAAAATTTCTCGCCTTATTTTATCCATCCTCGCAGATTTTTTTTAGAGGGGGGGGAATGATGTTACCAAATAGAAACAGGATGTACATTTTGAAAATCCTGTCCACTTTACTTTTATCAAACTGGCAGGCCTCTCTCCTGAAAGTGACTGTAACATCAACCCCATCCCAGTCAACAGTGCATTCCTCCCCCCTCGGGACCTGACTAAGCATCAGTCACACAGCATGCGGCAAGGATTGGAGAGGAAGAAAATGAAGAAGAAGATGAGGAACCTGATTCCTGTCTGGTGACTGTGTAAAAGAGCCACTAATCCTGTAGTGGTTTGGGACCTACAATGTACAATGTACATGTATATGTAGTTTGTGTAGAGGGATCACAGAGCCCTCCTGTCTGCACTAGCGGCGCTGCCCGTGAAGATAACTGCATTAAGAGGGAAGGCGCAGAAGTTGAAAATCATTGAAGTTGTGACGGATCACAGTTTTGTGTATGTGAAAGATATCCCGCTCGTCAAATTTAGTAGCCGAGATTGCATCCGCTGTTCTGATATTTCACTGTGTTTAAGAACCTGATAACGGAGCAGCTAAATTAGCTGTGACGCGTACCAGAAAATGAACTTGTGCATTTATGCTGATTGTAAAATCTAAGCATGTGTGTCCTTGTGTGATAAAAATGATGGAATGATGTTTTGCAGGACAGAGGGATAGATGTACATGTATATTGAACCCACTGCTCTACAAGCAAATCATCTTTATTCCCTGCAGGAACAGGCTTCCTGTGCCAATGTCGGGATTTCAATATTTTGTGAAATTACCTACATTTAAATAATGTACCGGTGCTCCTTTACTCTAAGGACATATTTTGGAGGCTGCTTGGTATCAGAGTTGTATTAAAGTCCATCACAAGCTGATCACAAGGCAGTTGGATCACACGTCTGGTAACAAAACACATGACAACTTCATGTTGTTGTTACAATTCGTATCTTGGACTGGGAACTTGAAAACTTGGGATGGAATTTTGCAGGAATTGGGTATGTTAATTTGCATTTGGTATTTAGTGACAAAACAAGGCAGCAGAGAAAGAGCATCTCCCAAAACACAGGCAGCAGACACTATAGGAAGCAAATTAAGTTACCAAGCCGTAAACGTCTAGACGTATAGCATTGAGACATGCTCAAACAAACTGATTGATGAGCAGTGAATTATCAGCAGTGTGAAGACAGTTTGAGAAACCCACCTGCATGTGGTTTGGCACTAACCCTCATCCCCATCCCCAAACTCCCCCCCCACCTCCGTTGTCACCTAACCACACAGCCAGACACTGATTGCCACTAAGCTCCAGGGCTCAACTCTTAATCCAACCTGGATTAGCGCTCGTCCATTCCAATTTGGGCTAATTTGTGTAGATAACCCACGCTCAGGAAACAGGGGGGCTTGAGTCACAAGTCGGTCACAGTGAAATACCGGGACCAGGTCGGCCTCAGTCGCGTACTGAGAAAATGACCGCCTGCAATTACTGCAAGAGTGTTGTTTACACTTTGGTCCTAGGTATTCAGGGCAGGTGTTGGGAGGAGGGGCCAATATTATTGGGGTCTTCACAGAAGAGGAGTAAGATAAAATCGTTCGTTCCATTGGTTTGGGGGAACCTCACAGAGGCAATGATTTCCCTACCCACTTCATGTTCATTACAGACCACCATGGAATGTTTTGTACTTTCGCAAGTTATATAGGAAGTTTAATATGCAAACACCTGCCCATTTACATGTACATGTGTTAGTAGGTTTTGTTGCGTTTTACTGAGCCAAACTGCATTGTGCCCACACTAGAGGCCAGAAATTCTTCAGGGTTTGGATTTCGACATGATGCAGAACAATGCTTTGTATGCATTGTTTGCACTGTGGACATGCAGTATAGGTGTCATGCTCATTGTTCCCATACAAAGTCAGAATTGAATTTTTACGTCAGAAACGGTCAGAGGTTGGATTGCTTCAGTGTGAAAAGAATGAACTTTACCTCTAGGGGTACCTGCAAAAAAAATCCTCTGAGTGTTGGGAAGGGCCCACACTGTCCATAGTTTGAAACCCACAAATCATTTTTGAAGGAAACAATGCAGAAAGGGTTTTTTGAAGATGTAACAGAAGGTAACCAAAAAAAAATCAACTTTTTCCATTTTTTATGCTGAAAGGGGGGGGAGTGTTGATGGCTGGATGTTTATGTCAGAGCAAAATTGTTATTTTGAGCTGTTAAACCATCTGAATGTCTTTCAAGAGAAATCTACTAAAAAAAAGATACTTTAAAACCACTTTCATGTTGATTTTCAAATTCTGACATTGACTGATCTTTCCCGCAAAATGATGTTGTGGCACTTCAAGGTTGATCAGTGACAAGCCCGTAATGAACTCCAGAAATTGTACTGGGACTGGTCCGTAAGAAAAAAATGGGCCCTGTTTTTAAATAGTCCTCATTAGTAACTGGCGGTCACTAACAGGCAAGCATCCTTGTTAGGAGATGACGAGGGACTCGAGAACTCAGATGACAGACAGGGAGAGGTTATTCCAGATCTGCAACCCTAGAAGGAAGTGTTTGCCAGGCAGGATTCCAGTTTGACCTTGACCCAAGTCAAGGAATATTACACACGGTGTCCGACTTCAATTTATCATGTCATCCACTTGAAAAATCAACAGGCTGTGCTGGTTTTTATCTTTAGATTTGCCCTATACTGGCATGAGTTTAATTGATATATAAGTTGAATGTACTCAGAGCTTTTCCAGAGCTTTTGACTCGTCAACTTCAACCCACAACCACTCTGGTCACGGTGACATCCGGCTTCCAAAATGTTGTCAATAATTCCGTCTACATGTACATATACCTCCAATGTTGTGTTTGTCATCCTTGTCCCAACGGGTGAAAAGGTGTCAGGATTTCTGTTCCGAATATATTCAGGACCTCTCAATTGTCATTTCTCTGACATCAGTTTTGGTTGCAAGTCTTGGGAAACAGCTGTCGTCACTGTTCTTTGTTTATGTACACAGACATGTTTGTGAGTGAAGAAGATGTTATGTGCCATTTTCAATGTTCAATATAGAAAACAAGTACTGTACCATCTCTCCATTCATTTCATGAAACATCTAGTGTCATGGTTTGTTGGCCTTGTGAATATTTGAGCAGACTATGGGAATCACACCGGTTATAGGGATGCTATAAGTTAGTGCAGAGCTGTGAAAACATCCCATAACAGTGTTTACAAGATTCACCTCAATATTGAGGGCTTCAAACCGGCAGCGTCACCAGGCGATTCCCTGTGGAAGTGTTTCCCATGGTGGGAAAGGGGGGTTATCTAATTGTACATAGGATTTACACGTAGTTTCCCTTGGATTATCTTATTCTATCTGTTTTGCACAGAATGCTTTTTAAATTACACAAAAATAATGCAAAGACACGTATTGGATTTCTTTTTTTTTTCTTCTTTTTTTCCCCACCATGATTACCAAAATGCCAGTCCACCGCAGTTTTCCTGAATTTGTTAAATATGAATGATAGGCTATTGAAGTAAATAACAGCGGCTTACATGTACTTTGCGAGGATATGCCTTAAGAAGTCTGCCGGGATCAAAGCCACAGTCCTCAAGCATGAGGAATTTCCTCTAGCATTTTGGAAAGATTGTCTGCCCTCTCTTTCAGTCCTCCCCAGAGACATGTAACACGGGGCCCCCTTCCAACTTTCAGAACTTTTCTGCCGCAACTGAGACCCCTTTAAATCTTGACAGTGGTGACAGTGAAGACCCCCCGAGGAAAACAGGTCCTCAACTTCCACCGCCGCCGCAGCAAACTGCACATGAAGTCAGACCATGCAGCATGTATAGAAGATTTTCGGTCACTTGATTTTTGACGGTCAGCGTTCAATTTACACAGATGTGCGTGGAAGCGCATGTGCCTTCCAAGTCTCTCAATATACTTGCATACATGAAATTGCCTATAAAAATGTGCGTGCCTTCACAGACATGGTACGCTTCCTGAAATGCCTTTGCCCGTCATGTTACATCACATGAAAAACCTTTATACTGGTGTACATAATAAGTATAATTTTTACGTGTGCCTTTTGATAGCTTTATCCTTTTTTTTTTAACCCACCCAAAGGGAGCTACAATAAAATGGGATGATGTGCTTAACTCTGTCGTGATAGCCCGGGTAATGCACGGTGGTGCTGCAGACAGAAGTGGTAAGCCAAAAGATCTGAAAATCAAATTAAATCCATGTATAATTGTCTGTTTCTTGTGTTATAGTTTTATTTCAACCTTTTGTCAACTCTAAAATTTAGAGTTTTTCAAAGTGTCCGTAAATTGTGTGAGGTCATTAGTTTTCCTCTTGTGGGTTTGCTCTGTTGATATGTGAAAGTTTGTTCGTCTTGCAGGATTGATTCATGTAGGTGATGTGGTCCATGAGGTGAATGGGGTGGACGTGAGGGGAAGAGACCCTGACGAAGTAGTCAGCCTCCTGGTAAGTCAAATATCCTCCTCCAATGTAGTTAAAACTGGGCAAAAGTCACAGCACATTTCTGGTGACATCTTAATTGGGGATCATTGGTAACAACGGGATGCCCTTGGCAGTGTTCTCCTGAATAACTCAAGTTGTGATTTCAAAGTTGGACTGGGTAACTTACAGTGGACTCATGAATGCTTATGATAGACTTGTCAGAATTAATGATGTTGGACTTGTGACGATTGGCGGTGGATTTGTGCAAACTTTTGAAGACTTGCTATTTACTTGACAACATCACTAGTCTCCCATGTCTTGTGGTATCACAAGGTGACAATCAAAAGTCCATTCAAAATAATTTAAGAAATTGATCTCTTGCAGATTCTCTTTTTCAGAAGTTGAGTTTTTGGGAACATGTTTGTATTGTGAATCATGAATAAATTATAACTTTATGTAACCAAACTAATTTTATGGACCTTTGTTATGCTATTCAGACTCGGTCTCATACTGGCCACTGTACTGATAATTTCTATGGAAGGATAGCCTCGTAAAGCACCAGACTAATTGGCTTTTTCTCCATACATGTACTTTGTGCGCAGTCCTCATCCGATGGAACAATCACCTTCAAGCTCGTCCCAGCCGAAGTCGAGACAAGAAATGCGATGGAGAGCCAGGTAATAGAGTTGTCAGAGGCATGATGGGATGCATCCTCAGGATGCATCCTCACCATGACCACTGGCTTATCACTGCTCAGTCATACCGGTACATTCCTCCCTAACTAAACACTGATAGTTGTCAAGAGCCACTGCAGTCAGTTTCTAAGTTCAAATTGATGTAGAATTGAAATATATGCAAGCTCAAACCTGGAATCAAGTTATCAAGTGGTCAAGAGGCCGTACATGGATTTAAAGGTGTTTCAGCTTCTATTGGGTGAACTACCTCTATGAAATTTGATCCATAAAGCAAAGACTGAAATTAAAAATCTTGTTTTGCAGTACAAAGATAATGCTAAAGGAGAAATTTGTACATGTATACGGTCTCATAGAAGTTGTTAATGTCCTGTTAACATTTATTTGGTTTATTGTTATGTTTAACATTTAAAGTGTGATATGATTTTTGTATTTCAAAGTTGGATAAGTTTTAAAAATGTATAGTCTGACCCTAAATTTTATTTTAATTCATGAATGTATTTTCTGTAAGACGACTTTGTCGTTAATCTCCCAGCAGAATTAAAAAGTCATTTAAAGTTCTTTCATATTTGTGTTTATAGTGCTTAGATAACAGTCTCACAGCTGCACAGACCATTTTACGAACTAACAGTTGTGAAATGTCTCATTGTATTTGGTCATTTCAATTCCAAAATCACCTCACCAAACTAACGCAGGCATTTCAGTCAGTAAGATAACCTAGAAACTATTGCAGATGCACTCATACAAAAGAAGTACATAATGGATTTTAAAGTTGCGGAAAAGCGTGTGATTTCTCTACTTTCAGGATCTTCTTATGTAACATGCAGTGCATAGAACAGTCTTGATTGTGTAATTTTTACCCCTAATTATCCAAACAGAGGTTAAAAATCACAAAAAATAATCAAAATGGTTGGCGATATTCCCAACTAAACCACTATTTTTACATTTTTTGTTCCCATTCCAGAAATGTGAAATAATTCCAAAGCAGGTAATGGCACTGAGGCATGTGGCATGCATTGTGCGATCTTCAGAGATGTGAAATGTTGTGTTTGCAAAGAATTTATTTTCAGACAACAAAAAATCAAAACAAAACAAGGTCCTGTCCTGAAAGTAAAGGTGTCTGACATTAACAAAGATCATTGTGAATAAGTAACTTCCAGGCACTGATTGTCAGGTGCAGGCCAATTGCATTATTCATGAGGATCGTTGCTGACGTCAGAAAAATTTACATGTATATTCATTACTCACTCTAGTTGTGTTCCCGAGGACATGACCATGACACAGTTTCCCCAGGTTTTTTGTTTTCTTTGGCTTGTTTTGTTGTTGGTTTCAGTTTCTGGTTTGGTTTGTTTTCAAAGCCTTTTTAAAAGACCGTTGCAGGTCTGTTTATTATTCAGAAACGAGTTTGCCTATTCATGTGTATTGACACAGCATGTTTGCTTCAGAAAAAAACACAATATGCATGGCAGGAAGATCATTATTCATATTTGTCAGCTGCTGTGATGTGGGACACTTTTTCTTTAGCAACCGAGCAAATCATGATGTGCATTGAGAAGTCTGGTTACAATGTTTTTCCTCCAGGGTTATGAACTTATTAAATAAGGCCTGTCTAGTGGTTGGCTTCACTTAGTTGCGTGCCAATGAGAAAACTCTTACCATGGCTAGCAAATTCCCTATTTAGATACTTCTTACATCACAATCTAAAAATAAAACAGTTGTTTTGTTCATACCATCTTTGCTGTGCAGAGGTAAAAGGTTTGAATCCCTCAAAAAATGAGTGATTCACCACAGAAGTACCAACTTTTGATTAACTCTAATCCAACTTGAAATTTCGTATTTGGTGAAAATTAGGGACTGTTGGATTGGATTTGGGACTTGAATTACCTGAAAGACAGTGGTTGTGTCACACAACAGTGTGTCACATGTTGTTGCGATGGTCCAAAAGTGGCCACAAAGCAAAACAGCACAAATATGGGCTATTTGCAGGAACAACCTTTATATGACCTACATGTAGGTCACTCCTTGGGGCTGACCTGATAATATCATCCTCGTCTTTATTTATTCATTCATGTAATACAGTAATCATCCATGTTTGTTCATTTCCATTGCATGTTGCTGCTACCCTGTGCCATGCCATTTCAGAAAGTGAGTTCATTTTTTTTTCTTGGCGTTTCTTAAGTTGATGACATTTGTTATCCCCAAATTATTTTAAATAACTTCTCAATCTGTTGGTAAACATTCTATAAAGTCTGTAGGTTGATTTGCAGAAGTTATAGAAGGTTCATGAAGAACATTTTTATCACAAATCTAGTCTTACTGTCGGAAATCTGGAACATGGATACGAAAGAACATTTTTCCCTCACCTTGGCAACGCCTTAGCTAGAATCACTCACAGATTTGATGCATGACAAATTTAGCATTGCACCTAGTGGTTCTTCCATGTCCACCTTGTTTTGATTTAAAGGAGTTTGTACAATTTAAGAATGCAGGTCCCGGCCATTATTGCTGGTTAGGCCTTAACAGCAGTGCGAGGAAAATTTCTTTTGGTGGCGAAAGTCAAGAGCAAATTGGGGCAACAAAAACTGGGCCAGTTAGCATTTTGGTATCCAACATGTGGGTTGCCCTTCCACTTACGGAACAAGTATGTGCGTGCGTGTGGCTCACGCCCATTGAAAGTTAAATAAAGCATTGGGTTCTTGCACAGCGGTTTGACGTTGGATGTTTGACAATTCAGGAAAGTTCCCCAAGAAATGGCAGTCAATATGGATGATATTTTATATTTCTGTTAATGATCATACTTGCTCTTTTTCATTTGTGAATCAGGTGCGCGTCAAGACATATTTTGACTACAACCCTTATAACGATAATGCCATCCCCTGCCCAGAGGCGGGGCTGTCCTTCAAGAAGGGCGACATCTTGCACATCGTGAACCAGGACGACCCGATGTGGTGGCAGGCGAGACGGGAAGGGGTGAAAGGCCCACGAGCTGGCCTCATCCCCAGCAAACTCCTACAGGAAAGGTACACTGACATCCAGGGACGGATCCAGAACCACTTTTTTGGGGGGAGGGACCATGGTCCCTGTTGGCCCCCCTCCCCCAGTTCCGTCCTTGACCAGGGCCCAAAAAGTCTTTTGCAAGTTAAATTTGAATAAAATCTGGTACACTGAGTTATCTGATTGCACATAAACATGACAGTTTGAATTCCCCAGACTAAAGACACTGTTGCTATACCTCGTCATTGTGGCAAGCTTTTGCAAAGCGACCACCGTTTCTGGAATGGACTGGTTTCTTTATGCCCTTCATTGCCATTGAGAACAGTGTACTGGTGCAAGGCGTCTCTTATGTAACTAAGCAAAAACTTGCCCTGAATCACAAGGTAATAGCAGCAGTGTTTTTAGTATGGAGAATACAAATTGTTATGTTCATGTGAAGTTAAAGAACTGAGTGTACCAGATTTCATTAAAACTTAATGCGCAAAAGGCTTAATTTAGAGGGTTGCAAAACAGGAAATGTTGCTTGGCACAATTTTATACTAAGCAAAAATCAGCTGGGAACAAGCCACAAGTGGTACACAGTGAATGACAGTTTAGCTGGTAACCTGTTTTTTTGCTAAGCAGATATTTTCTTCATCACATTTAAGTAGATATATGAAACCCGGCCACAGCAGTGCCAAGCAGTTCTCAGTCACTTAAACTGGTATGCAAGCCTGCAGGACCTGTGGCAGTGCTGAAGGTGTTAGGCAGGGCCTAATTTCACAGCACTGGTTAACGTTAAGCAATTTTTTTGCTAACCACAGCATAAAAATTTGCTCAATGGTGAGCGTATTTAATGACCATCATTTTACAGTTGCTATACTTAGCGCAGAAGTTTCATGGGCATGCATACAGAGATCCATTGTTACATCACGAACAGAGTTGCTGACTCAAGTCATGTGACTTGGACTGAAGTTGCTATTTTTGTGACTTGTGACTTGACTTGTAAATACCAGCTTTGACTTGTGATTTGAGTTGGACCTGCAAAAAATGACTTGGACTTGCAAAAATGACTTGTTACCAACCCAAGTCAGACTCTACTCGACTGGCCCCATAAATTTTTATTACTCGCAACTCGTAACTTCTTGAAGTTGTGCTTACAGTATGGCGTACGGTCTCCATGACATACGTGGAGCCTCTGTTAGCGTAAAATCGTGCACTTAGCAGCGCCTTGAAATTGGGCCCAAGTCTCAAACTTTGGGGCATTCACCTAGCGGTTAGGATTAGAGACCCCATAATAGTGTCAGGGGTTTGAATCTAGCAGTTGGTTGTACGTTTTTACCTTGGGAAAATTAGGGCTGGTTCATACTTGCTGCGTTTGCACGCATGGAGCGCGCAATGTAAATGCCGCATTTGTCGTTCGCACTTTCATCTTTTCTCAAGTCTCGGCTGCGTGTGCGCATCCAACAAAAGTTTTTAAAATTTCAATTTGTCCGACTACGCATACGTTTGGTGCAGATGCACTTTCCATTATTTTCACAAACTGCGTTCTAGGGCGCGCATTTCATTATGCACTTAGCTTTCCGTCACGCGATGCAGACACCTCAGAATAGACCCTCGCACTGCATACACAGTGCGTACGCAGCGAGTATGAACCTGCCTGTACTCTACCCCTACTTTCCTTTACATCAACGAGTATAAGTGGCTTCATTATAGATGTTCGAGAATATCAACTTCTAAATTGGTCTCGTACTCTCGTGACATGATATAATAATTGTACGGTGCTTTAAGATCACTTGCATGATGGAAAAGATCAGAAGTATTACAGTTACTCTTAATTATATCAAGGACGGTCTCAAGATCTACTTTTGAGGACCTGCTGCAAAATTGAGTTTGAGATTTCATTGATATTTTGAAATTGTTATGATTTGAAACCTTTTTCTTCTCTAAACTGCAGACGGCAGGCTCTCAACAAATGTCCTACCATGCCACTGGGCAATCACTCAACAGAGTTGGCGTTTCAGAGGAGCTGTAAGATTATTTTGTTTCCTTCCTCTGTGTTTTGTGGGGATTTTCATTTTTTTTGTTTCTTTTTTTAATTCCTTATTTAAAAACGGTTTTTGGAGAGGAAAAATGGGTTCCCTACTTCAGACAACACATGAAATTCAAAAACAGTCAAAAGTCATGAAAACAATATGTTTGGCTATGGAAAACCTTGGAAAATTTATGGAGAATGTCACAGAAAGGTTATGGAAAATTAAGGAAAAGTTATGGAATTAGGGGAAGCTAAAGAACAAGCCTTGGTTAAGGTCTAATTCCCAGCTCTGATGCATATGTTCTATTAGATTTGTAGACTGCAAAAACAAGCAAAATGGACCATAGTTTCTTGAATCCTAATGTATTTCTGTGCCTTTTGACGTCAATTCAAGCCTGAGTTTCTTAAAGTAAATTTCCACCATTTGGATTTAACAGCTCTGAGGATTCCCACTCGAAGCGGCGGTCTCCGTGGCAGCAAACGGAAGATCAAGAAGATTATGTACCAAGCCAAGAAAAGTGACGGTAGGTTGTTTTGGTTGGTTCCTTTTTTTCATTCTTTAAAAATCAGCATTTGTGACTCCTCAGTGCTCTTCTAGTTGTTCTGTCTGGTTGGAGACTTATGGTACTTAAAAATGGTCTCATGTGCAACACTGACCAAAGAGGGAAGATGGACTTAAATAGAAACTGATACCAAATTACTTTGCATGGAATGTACAAAGCTAACCAAAAAAACGTTACCCACTGAAACATCATGCTATTGAATTTATTTGCTAATGAGGTTCTCTGCTTGTTTTTGTTTGAAAAGATCACCCACCTGTTATTTTCTGAGCAGTCGTGTTGTTTATAAACTCGGTAAAATTGTACCTGGTGTTATCGTATTTATTTAGTTCCTTTAGCACCAAGTCATTTTGCCTGACTTATTGAGATTTGTAAATAATAGCTCACAGTCATCTTTGTATGGACTCAGTGTGTCACCTAACATTTTGTGTTCGCGTACTTATTGTATTGAGTATGCACTACCAATTTCCGAATGAAGGCACCCCACCTACAGGTCAGCAACAGACTAATGGCATACTAGGCTGAGCCCAGCCTTCTCTTCAGAGCCACCGAGGGCCTACTCATGCAAGGTGGCATCACGGTCATTCTAAGTGTCCATATCTGACTTTACAAGGTTTTTCCCCCCTTCTGGGCTGGTTAGGTCATTGATTTTTATCATATTATTTTCACTTCTCTGAGAAGAGCTTGATCAAAGTCAGTTCTGCGTGAAGAGTTTCTTCAGATATTATGATGAAGAAGTGAATGAATTAGTTTGTTTTGTTTTGGTTTTTGCCGTCAGAATTTGCCCAGCATGAAATCATGACCTACGAGGAAGTGATCCCATATCTTGCCACAGAACATCCGCGACCAATAGTTCTTGTCGGTGAGTCAAGGAACAATTGCATGGAGGTCTCAACACTGTATAAGGCAATCATCATGTCAACATTTAAAATTGAGTTTTATTTCCATTCTCGACTTGTCAGGATTAGATACATGGACAGCCTTCCAGTTCGGAACTTTTTTCATTTAAAGGTTTAAATGTGTAAACGTCCCACCCTTACCATGCATGCATCATGCAAGGTACATGCACATGTATGGCTGAAACCTCATGATCACAATTGATGTAATAGCCTGATTTATAGAAGCGAGTTACCGACCTGGTGTCAGAAAGAACTGCCGGTCAGAAGTAAATGTGCCACTTGTAGTTTTTGCCACGATGAAAGTGTCTTTGTCGTCAGTCCTGGCTGAAAATTGAATCCACTGATTACTTGTGCTTGATTATTAATTGTTTATTTTCTCTTTTGTTTTTGTCCACTCAGGACCACCAGGAGTTGGTCGGAACGAGCTGAAGAGACGAATGATGGCAACCAACCCAGACCGCTACCAGCCCGCAATTCCCCGTAAGTACTGACGTGCGTAGTGGTCTCTGTGATCAAACAGAGGAGTGCTCAAACAAGCAAACCTACATTGAATACGTGCCCACTGCTTTTTTTCCCCACACATCACTAGAGATCACTGTTGTATGAAATGACTGAACTCGACACTTTTGGCGGCTCCTTGGTTTTTGGTTTTATTTTTTGCATTGTTCAACGTTTAGGCTTCATGTACACAGCAGCTTTATTTACAAACAAGTACATATTATTTACCATTCAGGATATTTTAAGCCGCAAAACACTGTAGTTACATCACATGCAGGGCTTGGCTCTGAGGACACCCACTGTACTCAGAATATCCGTACGAAACTTTTCCACCTTTGTCGCGTTCAAGTAAAATGATGGTAACGTCACCAGTCTCTCCTCCTGTGTTTTACGTCATACCTAATCACTCCTTATTTTTTTCAAATGCGTGTTATTAGACCACCTGACGAGGTGCTTACAATTATAAATTTGAGCAAACAAATTTACCAGAATGCAGGTGGAGGTCTCCGAAACATGGCACCAGGGCTCTACCTTTGTCAGTATCTTCATTTAGGGTTGCTATTCACAAGCCATAAACGGGCCAATGCCATAGAGCTGCTTAAGCACAGAATTTGCTTAAGTACGAAAAAACCTTGTTTAATAAACAAAGGTTACCAGCTCAAACTCTATGTGATTGTCGTGCTAACCAAACGACAGGTAAATACCATTCCAAAACAATATACATCACAAGAAGTTTTAACTGGTAACCTGAATTGCCAAGCAAGGTTTTTTTCACGCTTATACAAATTTTTTGCTTAAACAGCGCTAAGAAATTGGCCCCTGTTCACAACACACCTCTTGCTGGTTCTTTATCCTAATAAGCTGAAACACGGTCATGTGTGGTTTACTCATATAGGATACATGTAGTACATGAAAGTTGCTTCCCTGTGAACTGGACTAGTGCCAAGATATCACTCGTGCACAAATTTCAGAGTGTAGTGCCTGATTAGTTACGACACCCCTCACATGATGAGAACAGTGGAAAGCAACTCATAAACTGCAGCGAGAGAAACTAGAAGCGTTCCCTCTGCTGTTGAATCGCTTATGAGTTCATGGTTAAATTAAACAGCTCAGTTATACAACCAAAAAAAGTTTCTTGTCTTATTTTACAGTTTGGAAAGAGGTGTGTTACTATATACACATATCTACTGGCAAAATTTGAACACTCGTGCACGTTCGTGCACCCCGAGGGACTAAATGACAAGAAGAGGGTCCTATTTCCCTTGGCCTTTGGCCACGGGAAAAAATGCAACCCTCGTCTGGTCTCTCACTGGCTCGAGGCGGGCGTTGACGTTCCGTTCGAATAGCGTGCATCAAGGGATCACGCCAAAAGCGATTATATGGTGGTTTCATATTTTTCAGATACCTCAAGACCCAAGAAGTGGGCGGAGGAAGACGGGAAGGAGTATTACTTCATTGAGAGGTCGCTAATGGAGGAGGCCATCCGAGGGAACTGCTTCTTGGAGTATGGGGAGTACAAAGGCAACCTGTACGGGACCAGCATAGAGACCATCAAGAGGATCTCCAAGGCAGGCAAAGTCTGCATCGTCAACGTGCATCCGCAGGTAGGGACGTGGAGACTTTGGTTTATGGGCTAATATCGGCAACTGGAATTAGACGTCATCAGTGCCTTGGTACCACACTCGGAGGTTGTACACATGGGTTAAACACCCTGTGGTTAAGAATGTGGTGCGATATGCACTTGAGGGGGATGCCGCTGCAGTAACGGCAGTCTCCTTGGATTTGTGACTGGGGTGCTTACACTGACCTACAAGAGGTGATGTGGATGAACGTGGAAAAATCCACGTAGTGGTTATTTTTCCACGTTCATTCAGAACTGAATCTGCTTGCCCTGAAGAAGGTACTCAGTTACCGAAAGCTCGGCAATCATATATTTCAGAGCACTGATTTAATCTTATATTCTTGTCGATATTCAGGAAGTGTGTTACTTGGAAACACAATGCTTCATAGGATTTCCTACGGAATGATCATTTTTTTTTTATCAGTATCCATGTTTGTAGTCACAAATTATGAAAACGTAAATGTTCTACAAGTTCATAGAGGAAAAAACACAAAATCACATCTTTGAAGACATTTTGCCCTCTCCAAATAGAACAGGCCATAACATATTTTGGAATTGCACGACTTATTACCCTTTTTTGTAAAGCGGGTCACAAATGCTTGCCTACGGCAGTGGTGGCCGATCTCAGGCAAACTGTGCTCATGTTGCACATTGACGTCTTTTGATCAGACCTCAAACGTACATTCTCACAGTATTGCAGGTGTGCCAATTGAGTTGACACACCTGCTTGCATGCTGCGGCACAGGGCAGTGTGGGCCGTGCCCTGGTTCAGTCTCAAACGGTCAGGCTGTTGTGAAGAGCTGTTGATACCAACACTATAGACTAACGAATACTGTAGTTGTACATGGAGACGCTGGGATACGTGTTGCCAACATGGTGTGCAATAATATTTCTTGTGTGGGTTTTCCTTTATACTTGTACCCGACAAATATATTTTTAAATGACATTACCCTGGACACACAGGGTAGAAGTGCTACGGGTGTGTTTAAATGAAGTAATATTCAGTGATTTGTGTGGAACCTCATCACGCAATGTGACCCAAGCCAACGTCAATTCTTGATATATTATGTACTGATTTGTAACGGCACCGTTAAACCTACTGAAATGTAAATTATTCAAATATCAATTGGATCTTTGGGTCAGTTGAAGAGTTGCCGTGACCCCCCCAAAAAAACCAGCGTGCACCAGATTTAAGCTCCTGACTACCAGGATGGTTTTCAGTTATGTGTTGGCATCAATTTCATGGGTTTTCACATTCCTGTGAAAAACTTGGATTCAAGAATATCTTGAAAATGACAGCAATAGAAAATCAAACCAAATTTCCCTACTTATAAATGTTCACTTCCTAATTTAATGGTGCTACTCAGGGAAGAAGAAAAGGATTGTTTCCGACACCCTGTAAACATTACGAAATTTCGCTGGCGTTACGTGGAATTTCCTGAACACAAAAAAACCAAAACTGAGTGGAAAGAAGGATCAAAAGTATCGGTCTCATGTGACCCAGTCCAGTCCAATAGGTGAGTTTGCATATTCAGTCAACAAGCTCCTCTCACCGGTGACAAATAGACGGGCTGGGGCAACAAATCAATCACTGATCCCTTTGTTGTTTATCTCCATGTCCCAACCAGGCCCTGAAGATGCTGAGAGAGAGCGACCTCAAGCCGTACGTCATCTACGTCAAGCCGCCTGCCCTGGACGTCTTGAGGCAGACAAGGCAAGTCCAGAAAACCAAGCTGGGCCACGACAAGAACGCCAACCGACTCTTCACAGTAAGTAGCTGCTGGGATTCAGTGAATTTAACCCTGCCGAACCAAAATGTTCGGCTCTCCATTTGAGAGCGTGCTGGGGGGGGGGGGCCTGGAGTGCAGGTCCGAGTTTAACCACTTTGTGTCGGAGGACATGTATATCCACAATGATTTCCCAATGACAGTTTCACAGGGAGTGTGGAACCGCGTTGTGGAAGTTTCTGTTTGCAGTAATGGGTGACATGTTTGTCATGTACACATGGTTTAATGCCTCCACAGTTTTCCTTGATTTTGAACACTCACAGGGTCTGACTCAGTACGTTCTGAATGACTGTGCATGGTACCTTGACTCGCCCATGAGCCATGGCCAGCCATTGTAGCAATCATCACTACTTGGCATTGCCCGAGTGCATAGCAAATACACTGTTGCATGAATCTTGTACAAAAGAGTCAGAACTTAATGCTTCCATTTAGTTTTGGATAAAATGACCCTGATATCTTCTTTCTTTTAAGTCAGGATTTTTAGCCAAGAATAATGGGGTATGTTCTTACCAGTAACATAATATTTACCCATAAGGGTTTGAATTATGCTGCTCACTGCACTCATAACACACAAGTCACAAACTAGGAAAGAGTCCCAGTTGGCTTCGCGGCTGAAGTAACATCAAACCTGGTCTCCGTGAAAAAAATGGTGTCATTGACACATTGCACATGACTGCACTGACTAGCAACAGATGGACACTAGAGTTCTCTGCAACTTGCACCACCTAAACTGAAGTTCAAGTTAAGCCATGATTTGCTCAAGTGAAACCGTAATTTGGTGCACAGTGCATGGACCTGTATGTTTGCGCTCTGTGAGTTGTGTGAAATGTGCCGTAGCTTGGGCCACGACAGAAATGTGGCATAAGTGGAGTTGTGCCAATGCATAACTAAGGCTTTGCTGAAGCCAGGACCGAAATCGAGTCCGGACAGGAGCCCATTTTGTTCCAACCTAGGACTTTCCTGAACTCACCTGTAACACCTAGTCTGGACACATACGTAATCACAGATATTCCTCTGATGAAATGTTGTACAGGAGGAGGAAATGGTAGACATGATTCATGTCGGCATGCGCATGGAGTCACTCTACAAAAACTACTTTGACGCCGTCGTTGTCAACGACCACCTAACACAATCCTACAACGAACTGATGGACATCGCCAGGAAACTCGAAGTGGAGCCCCAGTGGATTCCCAGTGCTTGGATGAGGTAGATGGAAGCCTATACTACCTGCTCCTTCCAAATGAGGAGTAAGTTATTGTGGCAAAGAATCTTATTTCTTTGGAATGGACACAAGCCGCTTACTCTAAAGTTCACCAGTTTTGAGTATTGTAACAACTTTTTTTAAAGTGCATTCTCTTTGTGTGTAAAATTTTCATTGGAGTTACGTTTACCTTCCGAGAACAGATTTTGGGGTGTTTTGAAGTAACACAAGTAATCTTTGCCACAGAGGTAGCAAACCCAAACTTCAAGTAGAAGTTGCATATTTTATAACTTAAAAGCTTTTAAGACCACTCGAGTTACAGTAAAATCAGTTTGTTAGTTTCTTTGATAATATGGAGGATGACCTCTTGACCTGGGATGCGAATATTTATGAGTGCAGTAACAGTGGACAAAAAGGGGACTTCCCAGTTGCTCATGGGCCAAGGAAAGGGTGCAATCTGTGAAACATTTGCACACCCCTGGAAAGGGTCATTGTGTGCTCCAACACCTGTTGGTAAAAACCCCTCCATGGGAACCTCTGAAATGTGTTCAAAAAAATTGCAGTTGCACGAAATATTGAAATTTAAATACATATTAAGGGTTTGTTGTGATTATGTTACATGTACACCACACAGAGTGTGGCAGGTTTGTGCTCTGTCATTGACGTCCAGGAATTGTATCACAAATCTATTCTTAGTAATCAGGTTCCAGCCCATTTATTTTCTCACTTTGTACAAATACAGGTGTATATATTTGTTAATCAAGAAACGTTTATAAGGAGAGTAAATTTTATGGCTGACGAATGGTAGGTGATTCAGTGTAAAAAAATTCTATCAATATATTTATAGGATGCTCAAACAAAGTTTTTGTGTTGGTTTTGCCCGTTTGGTATGTTTTCGTTTATATCACTTTTTTTATTTATCCGTTTAACTGTTGATATTCCCAAATAATGTCTTTATTTAACATGAATTGTACAAGTTCTTCATTTTACCGTTTGATTGTTTGATGATATTTCAACTTAATCCGTTTGGTTTTAATTTTTGGTGCTTTTCATATTTATTTCTGTCAGTTTAGTGCTTTTACCTTACTTTAGTTATTGATGCTAACACAGAGCCTGACAAAGCACTCCCACTTTGGCTAAATGTTTTTGAGAAGCCATCAAGACAGGCTTTGTGTGCGATTTTATTGCCAAATGCTTCTGAATATTATTTTAATATGTAAATGCAGTTTATTTAAGGCTTGTGCATGGAAGTTTGTTGTCATCTTTTGAAAAAAAGGTTCAGTATTTCCTCTTGGGGGGGGCATGCTATTTCAGTATTTTTAAAGAAATCTCCCTTCCAGTGGCAAGTCGAGGGTGTTCCTCAACAGTTAACGGACAAAACTTGTGCCTACCACATGAGAAAAGTGTGCTCAGCTTGGGCTAACTTTTTAGAGCTGCTTAAACTTAGAAGTTTGCTCAGTGCAGAAGATGATTGGCTTAGAAGGGGTCGGTTACCAGACAAAATGTAGCGCATTGTATATTTCTCATGACTGGTTCCGGCTGATTTTTGCTTAACATATAAATTTGTTAAGCACTAGTGCCAGTTTAGCAGCTTTACGAAATCGGGCCCTTACAAACACATTGTAGCTTAGGTACACGTGAGGCATTTCTTTGTTCAGCCACTGTTTTCATTCATTTGGACACTGCTGGAAATGGAAACTGGATTGATAATTACACTGAAATGAACACATATGACATCAATTTTATCAAAACTGCAGTATTAGATCATGTGGTTGGAGACAATTACTCATTTGACTGAAAAAGGGACACATCTGTTCCATAGTTGTTGTGGTAGCTGGATGTTGATTTGGTTGCTGGGTTCTTTGTTAAGTATGCACTTAACTCAGTGAAAATGTTTATTTTGTAAAAAAAATAGCATGTTAAATACCATAACGGCATTTGAGCAGAGGCACATCACTCAATAAACAGTATGTGTTACAGTTTCGGTTCTCCGGGTGATTTGAAATATGTTCCGTTTTCATGCATGGTTGTTGTGCTGGTTAAAATGCATTTCAGCGTTGTTTTGCAGAGTTTTAATGACTTGTTTCCAACCACTTCCAAGGTTTATCACACTTGAGTTCAAACCTGCTTAGGCCAGCATTTTTTATTCATTGGATTACGAACATAGCACGAAATCTTGCAGGGTCGAGGACGGAAATCCCCCCCCCCAAAAAAAATCTTTTTAATAATGCTCTGAAGTTCCATTTTGGCCTACAATTAACTTACCTAGGGTTGAAAGAGAAATAGAATTGAATCTAGTCATTTTTTTCATGGACTAAAAACACCGTCGGGAATAACATACTGTCCTCTTTTCATTTTTTCTTCTTCTCGATTGCTATATTGGGAGTAGGTATGTTCGTCATCCAACTAATACATGTTGGCCGTTTTATTGACAAAAAGTTACCGTATGGTGCAATGGAGTTTTAGTGATCGTTTAGTGATCACTTTGCCTTTGGCTTTTGATATGCTTGACAAGGGCGGATCCAGAGGGCCCCCCCCCCGCAAAAGTGGCTTTTATAAGAGGAATGCAAACGGCCCCCAAATGTAGCCTCAACTCTCATAAAGGCCTTGAAGACTACATGAAAAAAATCAAAATATTTCAGCCCCCTCCCCCAAAAAATGGTGCCCCCCCCAAATAAAAATTTGTTCTTTATCCGCTCTTTATTACGTTGTTTCAACTTCCAGCATCTCACTTCCTTGAGGTTTTGCGCAAAGTTATTTTGTGGGTTTTTTTCTGGAGGTAGACTTGGGTTTATGTTGCATTCACGTTTGAACCCTTTCGCAAATGCAAACACTTCTTTCCGACTCCAGCTTGGAATAGCATTGTTTATTTTTTTTTCTTTTTGAGTTTGTCGGCGTTTCATGATATCATGACTTAAAAATCATTCTGTGAATCGAGTTGACAGGTTACTGCTTCATTGTCTGTCTTTACTATTTTGTACTGGTCGTGATGTTTAACCAGAGTTGAAGGCCCGGTGCAGACTTTGTATTCCACCTGGTACCTTTCCTCCCGAAGCTGAGCGCCTGTGAATTTTTGTAGAATATGTAGAGTGATATGGTGTCTTGCTGATGTTTGCCAACATATTCAAAACTTTTGACGTACCTCTCCATTGTTACAAAGTAACATGCGCATGTGTTATGCCACAGCTGGAGCTGGAAAAACAAATCATCCGTTGTCACGAATGACAGCGAGAAATACCGGTGACGTTATTGCAGGGTGCTTGGTGTAATCAGGCTGAATCTTTGCACAGGTGTAACTCTAGATGTGTCTCATGGCTTGTCAAGTAACGCAGTGAAATCTGTCACGCACGATACGTGGTCGAATCTGTAGGGTGGAATCCGTTAGGGGAAGATGGCGTGTGGGGAACCTTGCAGCAATAACGCCGACGAATGAATCTTACCGTTTTTCCGCAGCTCATGTGCAGTAGTTCGACAGCCTACACGTGCAACGTTACTGCTGCTCATGGACATCGTCTGTCGCTCAGCCGATAAATCCTACTCAAGCGGTTTGTTTTATGATGGGACTCGACCCCGACACCCTTCCTGTCTGAGTGTCATCTCCGGTGCGATCGTCGGGAATGGGTAGCGGGCCGGCCCGTCTCGCACGCTATCGATATCGGGTCCTCTCTAGTCACTGCTGAGCTGAACTTGGGGTGAAGGTGAGGGGGGGTGGGCGCTCCTGCCAAAAAAAAAAAACTGGGTGAACGGTCGGCGAATCAAGGTTGACGTGCCCAAGACAATTGTGACCTGTTTCCCACAGAAACGCGTTGTCCCTTGAAAACAAGGAGCGCTTTGAACTCGGAGCCGTTGTAGCCTCGTCCGGCACTTGGCCGACAAACCCATAGGATGTAGTAGGGTTAGTGGGAAAGGCAAGCCGACCCCATTGCTCGTTCTCTAATAGTTATATTTGAAGTAGAACACGAAATTGGGCGAGTAAGGGAACTGTTTGGCGGCACCAATAAGCACTTGAAAAACTAAGTTGTAGGGGCCTAGCCTCTTCATGAATATGTTGAATCGCAAATGTGTGTCAGTCAACCAAAACAATATCACAGAGAAGATTTCTATCCTTGATTTTTAACACTGAATCGTTTTTCACTCAATCAGAACAATGAACTATTTTTGTACAATATTGATGTGCATTTTTAAAGCATGACACTCAGAAACATAATGAAAGGGGGAAAATGACGGAAGAAGAAAGCAAACAGGTTATAGCCACGCCCCCGAGCTATCACCTTGGTGATAACCCGCCCTAAATTCATAAGCACTGTTATTATTTCAGATCGGAATTTCTATATAGGCCTATCAAAAGTCCGACAGCGAACCACAGAAGCGAATCTGCCGGCAAGTGTCACGCGCTTTAAATACATATCGAGGATTGAACATTTTGGTCGCAGTAATCTTGAAGGCGTGTTTGAAAGCAAGGGAAAGCACGTGTAGATTTAAACGCATTTCCAGTGGAGTTTGATATTACCGGCCCCTAACATCAGCACTTTTGTCAGGAAAACGACGTCTGCACCAGTGCCTAGCATGCAGGGGTGACAGACTGTATCAGTTTGCAAACTGAAACTAATGGAGATGTCAAAAGCGAAATTTGAAATCCCAACGCTGACGGAAGCAAAAATCGGGACGGTGGCAACCAAGCCCTGACTGCGCGCGTGATCCGCCCCTGGACTCGCCGTCAACAGTGTCCGCCGCTGAATATGAACGTGTTTCGTACGTGCCCCTGGAAGTCGGCACATTGAGGAATGTGTAATCGTCGGTGCGTGACGGGGGTAAGGGTTTGAAGCACCGTGCGGCTTGACTTCACTCCACGATTCATCAATCCACATCCGTCCTCACGCAGGTTCCAAACTTGTTCCGTTCGTTTTCCAGCGGGGTTGGTGGGTTCTGAGAAGTTAGAACATTTACATGCATTCGGGAAAACTCGATGTCTTTCTTTGAAATTATACCTTTTGCTGGTGAGTGATTCCACTACTTTGCACAATAGCGCGCACTTGCAGTTAAAGCCAAATTGACATTTTTGCATCGAGTTTTGACCATTTTTCTACATTTTGTCCTTGATACATTATTTTTTTCAAAGAAAACCAAAATCTTAAAAAGAAAAAACGTTGTAAACATAAATACAGGATTTTCAATTTAAATTTAGTCGGAACGCCCACCACTCGCCATCCCTCCATTATTAAATAAATATTCGAAGAATTCGCGCAAGTGTGTTGATAACATTGTGATCCGACTAGCTCGTTCCTAAATAACAAACTGCAGCAAAAGCGCCCTCATACAACGGCAGAGTTTGTGTAAATGACGCCTTGCTCGTTTAATCGGCACCAACCTCTTGTTTGACGGCACACCCTAAATCTTGAGATGCCCTCCTCTCCCTTCAATAAATTGGCCATCATCAGTTCTACTGCCCAGTGATTGAACTAGTAAACTCCCACCAGTCTGTGTTTCTGACCCAGGAAAAAACAAAGAGTCTACAATGACGCACAGTTAGTATCAGACGCTACGTCTTGGCCGGAGCTGAGACTATGAGCTATACGCTTGAAATTTAGGGGCACTTTGTGCCTGCTAACGCTCCGACCCAGACCTTTCTCTACCCAATTTATCAGGAAAATTGTATAATAGCCTGACAGAAAACACAAGTGAGGATAATGTAACTTTACCGAAGAAAACAAAAAGGAAGAGAAATGGAATACAGTCAGTCACGCGCATCGTATCAAGGAATCATAATATTTCGGAGCAAAGTTTTGCATAAAAAATGGCTCACCTCGTGGCAAATGGGCCTAGAGTTTCAAGCAGCCCCCTTCCACCAATCTTCAGCAGAAACAGACATCAACTAAACTATGTAATGCAACTTGCTTTCCTTCATGGGGGCTTTTCTTGAAGTTTACTGGATAATTCCAGGACGTGGGAATGCATGGAAGGGTTGCAGTTCCTTTGCATTCCATCCCTTCTTGACTTCCAAAAAGACAAAACTGTTGGCTTGACTCAAAAATCTTTGAGACCTCCAACCCTATAAAGATGGAGCCACGTCTATACAAACTCATCGAAAAAATTTTCAGAACTGATCCTTTTTAGTTACGCTAGTGACCGCATCCTTAATCCTCATCGATCCTCGATCGCTGTCACGATCAGTCCGCTTTTGTGCATGTACTAGTCTTGGTTTTGTTTCTGAGATTTCCCTTGTAGAAAGCAAGCTTCTTTCTGATTCCAAGACAACTAAATCAGAGTGCGCTCTTGATTGTAAACAAAACCACGACCCCATTATCTCAATCAAAAAGTTCAGAAAATGAATCTGTACGAAAATATCTTCGTGCATAATGGTGATCCAGTGCTTCAGAAGTTAATGTGGGGTTTCCAGACCGAACTTGTTTATTTCGTTCAGCGTGAGTCCCACTCCCAGCCCGCTGTTTATCTCCAGCAATGTGTCTGGGGAGCTATCGCTTCAACCCTCTTTGGAAATTCAACGGCAGTCGTACGAGACACCCCCATCAGTCCAGAAGAAGAAAATCACAATCGTCTCATGCGGAGTCAAGAAATGGAGTACGTCAGGTCAGCATGGGCCACCTCGCCTCAGCATTGAAAAGTGCTGATTGACGCTACGGGGCTAGAGAAAAGTCGACCTATACGCGATAGGACAAAAAACCCAACTGTGTCTAACAGCGGAACACTCGCGAATAGGCGGTGGGTTATTAACACACTGACTGCCGGCTGCTCGTCTGCGAAGATCCCGCTCGTCTGCCGATTTTCCACCCTGTTGTTGCGGTTCGCAGCGAAATAAAAGAGGGTGAGATTAAAACCCACTTCGGCTGAGTTTGTGTGGTTGGTTGCCAGGGTATTTCAGCCGCGAATCAAGGGTACTCCACGGCTTGAAGAAGGGGACCTGGATGTCAGGAGGTAGTCATTGAGACCGGTCAGCGTTGCGCGGCAGGATTAAACGTCAAGTACCTTCAACAATCTGGCCACGTGTAACCCATCGACTCGTTCAGCATGAGGATTCAACCAGACACAAGATACCATTGGACTGATCGTGAAAAATAGAAAGGGGACTTTTAAAAAGAGCTTTGAGGAAGAGAGTATAAACTGCCCGGAAAAGACAGGGAATCTTTCAAAACCGAGTTTGGACGGTGAACGGCCGAATGACAATTCTAACATTGTAGCTTCTGTCTCCGATAACCACACTTTAAAGCGCGATATTCTAATACGTCGAATGACGGCAATCCGAATTGCCGACTGCCACATCCGATTCTCTTGTGCTATATTTTGAGAGCACGAAATTGAAGCCCGGGCCTACATCGAAGTCGGTCGAGACTTGTCAGCACTTGAGCGAGACTGCACCGGGGAGGATATTCCCCTGCCCCACTGCTCACCGTTCCCCCAGCTCCGCCGATAGATTGATCACCGTTCCGGAGCGGCACTGGATCACTGACCGGGGCCAACTCTTGTAGCTGTAGGCGCGCCTGGAACAGCTCAAACATTTCCCCCTAAATCAAGTATCGATAACACTCTTCCGCGGTTGCCTACCGAATCCTTTTCCCACGTTTTAGTTTGTATATTGTTGGCCGGGTTTTGCCGAGACTCCGAGGGCACTTCAAGACTTGGAGAAATGATGGTGCACAATTCCAGCAGTTTTGTCGTGGGGCTTTTGTTCTTCCTCATCCTACCAACGAATATCATTGGACTCTGGTGGTGAGTACAAAATCGTAGGCCTCTTTTACTGCATTCCTTATTCAACTGTTTAAGTTAATTTAGTGGCGCAGGTAAGTTTTAGAGGCAAATATGTTTTGAAATTAGCTGTAGCTGCCATTTCCTAGTGGGTTTTAAAATGGTACTCAACTCGTTAATGGTTAATGGTAAATCAGATCCCACTCACACTTCGTTCTCCTTTTTTTCAACTTCAAAAAACACAGTGTTTGATCATATGACAAAGGCCTAAAGGTTTTAGTGTTTGCCTCTAGCTTTTGAATAAAGTTGGGGGCATTGACAGTCGAGTCCATCAGAGTTCTCTCACAGAAAAGTTATGGCCTCTACTGAAGTTGCCGCTATGAATGCACTTCATGCCGGCTCCCACTTGCACAGTGTTGCATCATAAAAGAAAATTTCTTAATGTGACTGTCCCTGTCACTCAAAAAGAAATCACGCTTAAAATGGAGAATTTGTGGAGAAAGTTCCAGGATTTTCTCCGAGGTGTCCATGTGGAGAATTTCAGCATCAGGGAGTTTACCCTTTTCTCTGGAAAACAAAAGGGTTTGTCGCATTTCTTGTGTGGAGATCTTACAGTGCACTGGTACAGTGCATGCAGTATGCCCACGTGCGGACAGTGAGTAAGATGAGCATGGCAGCTCGTCTAGACAGCTAAGGGAATCCGTTCTCTATTAACACCTTCCTTCTGTCTTTACTTTCCGTCAATTTTGGTTTTCTCAATAATGCTAAACCGCACTGATTTCTTCGAAACGGCCGGTATTGTCTTTGTGACGGTAACCTTGAGGCGGAAAACTCCAGTAGTTTGTTGAAAAATCTGGTTGCATATCCTATGAGAATGTTTTTGTACTGAATTTGTAAAGGCCCGAACTGATACAGCCAAGCGTCTGCGTGAATTGGTTGAGCCAAATTAATGAGAACGGATCGTAGCTTTAGGATCAAAGACAGCTGCAGCTGTAGTATACTTTCCATTTCTTGAAGTTCTAGTGGCGTTGTGACAGTGTTAGAACTGAAAGACGTAATTGCCTTGTAACGTGCCAGTAATCGACGTACATGTACACCAGCTAAGCATCGAAGTCGTTTAGGCCAGCCTCATTTTGCAAACAATTAAAAAAAATGTTTTGAAATACCTGTATCGCGGAGTTCCTATCAAGGCCCTCGCGTTAAGTATGTGAAGCGTGGTGTCTCAGTCTCGCCCCGATAACGGGCTTGGGAGGACGGGGCCTTGGACCGGGCCATAAAAAAGTTATCGGTCGCTAGGGACGGGACGACATTACTGTCGGCCCCAACCTCTTTGTCTGTGAGCATGTACATGTACTTTAAAATTACCATAACAACTTTATGGCATCATAGAGAAGCAAAACACTGTAATCAAATCAGATTAGCTTTATGGCGGGTGCGGGTCGCTTTTTGGAGTGCCAAATCGAATACACAGCGGGCGAACATTAAAGTCGTGGGATGATAAACAATGCGGGATTGTGTGTTGCAATGCGGACTTCTGAATGGCCTTTTAAAAAAGGCCTAACACCATCTATGAAACTGTTGAAAATGAAAGTGGTGTTTAAAATCTGAAACTGTCTTTCACCATGTTCCGTTTAATTTTGATTTTCTGTCCTATACCTAAAAGGGATAACGTTACCTGAAATCACAAATTCCCTCCCCAAAATTACTCCGAGACCCCGCCGAAGTTTGTTTCTCTGTTGCTTTGTTTATTTGTTTGTGTTGTGAAAACCACACACAAAATAAACGGGATATAAATGGGCAAGTAGGTTGTTTTTATGATTTTTGAATTTTTTCATTTAGGACTGACGTCTATGTAAACATATTGATTAAAATAACCAATAATTAGCAGATATGTTTCAAAGAAATCGATTGGTTGTACCCATGTCATACCACGTATGGGGTGGTTTTAACCCGCACTTTAATTCAATACTATATGCAAAAGAGTAAAAATGAATATATTCATGCACAGACCTATTCAATTTCATAATTGCAAGGACCCTTTTCACTGTTGAACAATGTCATTGTCTCCAGATTTGAGTATTCAGATACTTGGCCTGTTAAAATCAGAATACGCAAAAGTTGCCACATCACCGCCTTTCACGGATAACGAAATGATATTCATATTAGCGCCCTGGGCATATTCTGACTGAATGAATCACTCATTCTCACCATACAGTGACGTGCTTTACCCTCGGAACTTCACCAGGAATTTATATTTGTATGAACATGAAGAATCAAGCGTGCAAGTAGCTGGTGAAGTCGGTTTCTTTAGGCAAACCGCTTTGTAAACCGTCATCATCAACGCTGATCAGCAATGATAACAGCCCAGTGTTGTAAAAGTTGATATCGTCTCTTTTAAACATGCGGCTCTGGCGTATTTACGACCTTACGCAAGTTTGGCTGTCGTGGGTTATTAACTGCACGGAGGCCCGGAAGCCGGCCTGTTCAGTTTCTGTCATCACGGTTTTGTCGTTTTATTGGCGATCGTCTGATATTAAGCATGCTCAAAAAAAACCAACTGACTCATATCTTGAGTATACTGATCTGAACATTTAGCATGCACATTTTCCAACTCCTATGGCTGGGAAAAATCAAATTTCACGGTTGCTTTGGAGTGGCAGTTACGGGGTCGTGAGACTGTTTCCAGGTAGGCGGGATTTGAGATGTGAGGAGAGCTGTGCGTGGGTTTCACTGTCGGTGGCACTGAGGAGGTGTAGTGCCGGGATTTGTTTACTGTTGTGACATTGATGAGAGGACAAAACGGTGGACGAACTTTTTAGAAGGCTAACAACAAAATACACAAATGAACAGAGGCTAGACTTCAATTTTTTGGTCACAAGAATTTATTATTCTTTTGAAAGGGATTCTTAGACCAAAGTGCGATTTGTCCTTTTTTCGATTTCATTGCAAAACCCTCGACTTCTATGGAACTATAAAGGCACTCAGTGGAACTGATATTTTCGTTAGTATAGGCCGGTTTGTTAGTCGTTGATACCGGTATAGGTCGGTTTGTTGGTCGTTCTATTTTTTAGTTGGTTGTTTTTCTTCAATCAAGACGCACAGCTCATTCTGGACAATTAACGCCCTCACTGCAACAAACTCCATTGCAGGGCCGTCGGCAGTCCCCTCAACCTCGACCCCAACAGCATCTGCCGACGCTCCCGCAAGCTCCGGGGCAGCGGCAACAAACAGCATGACATATGCCGACGGGAGCCCGAGATTGTGGACGAGGTGGTGAAGGGGACGAGGCTGGCGATGAAGGAGTGTCAGTACCAGCTGAGGTACCATCTTTGGAACTGCACCATGCTGGGAAACTCTTTTGTCAAGATTCTCAAACAGGGTAAGTACGTAATGTGCCATAAACGCTACGAGCTACTCTTTCTGCTGTAGGTGGCTGGAATATCTTTTCGCCATTAGCAAGAGACTGTGGGAAACTTGAAACAACTTTTCTTCTGGGTTGATAGATGTTTTGTTTTTATTTATTTATTTAATTTGAGAATACAGTGCGAAAACTTTTCTTTCTTGTGACGGCCCCTCAGAAGTTCAAGCTCATTCATTACTGACGGAATGAAAAGATGGTAGGAAAAAAGAGATACCTTGGCAATGATGGAGTGTCAGTAATATAGATTGTTGAAGATGTTATTGCTAATACCCTATGCATATTTACGGATTCGTAATTGATGTGATGGCATTCTAACAAAATTGCTAAAATGGTATGCAAAGTATCTGAATCCTTTTCACTGGACTTCAATGGCTTTTTATGTACGAATTATGAATCGATCTTGTTTAGATCACCTAGGTTTTATAAATTAGGTCAAGGCGAGTTCCTCAGTGCTACTCAATGGCGGAATGGGGGAGGGTAACCGGGGCCACTCCCACCCACCCCAAAAAGGCAAGATAATTAAAAGTTGGCGATTTGATTTTGTGTATTTCATTTCTCTTTCTTCAGAAAACGTGTAAAAAGTCTCTAAATGTAGCCTATAACAACTGGCAATGAAAGGTTTCTTGAAAAATATTCTTATTTTGACCCCTTGGTACTATCACGTCAAATTAAAGCAAAGAATGTGAGTGCGTGTGTTGCTATTGTGACATTCAGACGATCAGATTTGCTAAGTTGAAAGCTCAATCGGCGAAACGGAAATGTGCAATAAATTTTATGGTTAAAAATTAAAGGAAAAACAGAACTCCTTTTATGCGATGGCTGAGATGGAAATTCATCTCCGGGTTGATGCAAATTGACAATTGGTAACAGTGCAGTGCTTCGTTTTTTTGTGCTGTTGGTTCGAATCGATTTGAATTCTGGCATCGATTCCGTTCCCGATTGCCATCCAGCCACGGTTTAAAGAGCATCGATTAGGTCTTGGGATGAAAAGAATAAAACAGGAATTAGAAATATGCGTGGTGTGTGTAGTATCGGAAACACTTTGGCTGTCTGTAGTTTGACAGTGGCAGCCTTATGCCTTAAATTGACTTCTTTACGCCAACTAAATTAACTGCACGCTTATCTTTTTACGAGTAAACGCACCATTTACCATAAATACGGTAGTGATTGTACTGAGATGGAGGAACGCCAATTCCAGCTTCCTGGGCCCGCGTCGTTTCATTATTGCATTATTTGTCGTGCCAACGTCCTTCAACTCGGCAACAGTTGCACATTTGCCCGACAGCCAAGTCCTGCACCGAGCCAGCAGCCGATGCCGACCGGCCTGACCCGCACCGTTTCCTAATTTCGGAAAAATTACGCCGGAATTTTTGTAATTTTCGGCACGACCTTTCGGTGTCCGTTGGAGTTCAAGGCGAAGTGGGCGGCTGCTGCGGATGCCGTTAAGTGGCTGCCGCGACCGGCCGATGAGGTACAGCCCAGAGAGACGCTTTAGGTCTACACGACGGGCACCGCAAGTTGTTGACTTGGGGCTGTTTGTAGTTTGTGAAGGACTGTTTTTGGTCAGAATTCCGATGACCCAGTATCGGAGTGACCTGCAGTGCAGACTGCAGTGCCGGATTGTTTGTTTCCTCTCAGTCAAACACGCATGTCTAATCGTCGCCGTATAATACGCAGTACGCGTAGGTCCAAAGCTATTTGTGCGGTTTACAAAATGAAGCTGAGCACAACCTTGTTTTTGTCGCCTTGGTCATGAAGTAATCACACATCCAGATTTAAAGGGATCATGAACAGTTGGTATCAGACGTGGGGAGTTGGACACCACTGTGTACTGGATAGGAACATGTACACTGTCATATTGCCATCAACTCTCCTATAAACCGGCGGATTAGATTAGCAATTTTCGTCTTTTAGAGTGGCCTTGGAACTTGTTAAGTCCACTTTTCATTCCTATTACATGTATTTCTACTTCGTCTTGTGGAGGACGTAGAAAAACTATGGATGGTTCTAACGTCCCATTCCCAAGGCACCTTGGGGAGGGTATGATAATGTATCCTTCCCGTCGCCTGGAATTTACGTCCGTTGAGACTTGGTCGTAAATTTTAGAGGCCACCTTAGAGGAAATGTTATCTGGCAAAACAAAATGAGTAAGAGAACTTCCTGAACATTTCACTTCCCTCGACCTGAAAGGAACAAATTGTATTACATTTCCTTTGAGGCCTGAAAAAAGGTATATCTTCAGGGCCGACATACTTTAACGACTCCAATTTTCGACGAAACCCCCACTTCGTCACTTCAGACGTTACTTGGCGAAATGGCTAGACTACCTTACCACTGAGCGCATACAAAATCATCGAAGAAATAATGATGTTCTCGTGGATGTAAATTACAAAATGCAATGGATTTTGAATAGCAAGGGCTTGTTTCATGCTGCGTTGTCAAGGTCCTTCCATGCATTTGCATATGACGCAGAGATGATGAAGCCTCTCGGTTTGCTATGGTTTGGGAATACCTCCGGCCTTATCAGCTAGGTATCTTGTCTTCCTGTGATGAGAGGCGGTCGCACATTGCCCCTGTCGTGGAGACATTGCAACCTTGAAGTGTGGCCTTGATGTCTCGTAAGGCAGTTCGCGTGGAAACCTTTTTGCCAAGTGTGGCAAACTTTTGGGACGGGGATCTTTTTGAGCTGGTTTTAAGCCTCGTTTTACCCGTTTTGCCGTTATACTTATAGTGAGCAGAAAATTTAGACCAAGCATATTTTTTTCTGCTTTTATTATTAACAAAGTTTAAAGTCACCTTCATTGTTGTAATTGTCGTTGTACTTGCCATCATCACGTCATGTCGTGATCAGAGTCATTTAAGTCATTATGTCATGTCGTCATTGTCGTCGTTTTCCTTTTCACTGACACAAAGTCAGCGCGTGGTCATTTTCGGTACCATCTCCACACAGCCATCATTGATTTCACCACACTCCCCTTCTCCCGTCAGTATTTCTCTCGGAATCCTTGACTCCTCACACACTCTCTCGAATCTCGTCATACAATATTCTTTGTGCAAAAGAGGAATATCAAGCAAAACGCTGCCCCCCCCATTTTAAAATCTTATTTAGTTTATTTGTAAATGTGTGCCACCGTATCGAGAACACTTGCTTGCAGTGTTGGCTGTTAGAATTACTCGAGAGTAGTTCACAGTTATTAATGGACTGTGCTTCTGGATTACTTCTGCTTGCGCGCTGGTCATTATTTTGGCACCCTTGGCTGTGACGGAATTCATCGTAAGGGACCACGATGACACGATCTTGCCCTTGCTTGCAGTATCAACCAAATACATGTAATAGAATCTCGTTGTGAGATCAATACAATCACACAATGATGCAAATTTCATCGAGAAATTTCGGTAATTCGTAAACAGGCAAACTCTACGATCTACTTTGTTGGAACGCTGTTTGACACAAAGAAAGGGTGTTTAATAATGGAACCATTGGGTAGCATTATTCAAGTCACAGGCATCTCGGAATGCAGCGAGCGTATCTCAAGTTGGCGGTTTTATGGTCGATGTGCTTTTTATGACTTCTGCCACCAGTCTGTTTACCTCTGAAAGTTGATAAATTATTTCACTGGTATTTGCTGTCCGATTATGATGAAATAGGTGATTGACCTTAGCATACCTGCAATATCAGCACCCTCTTAACGACCCGCCAACATAAGACGCGGGGCGAGAGAATTCGCGCGCCAAATCATCTGTTGGCAATTATAGGGCTCGCATCCGTGCCAACTCCGCGTCCCTCGTGGATGGCAACAGGCTTTATGCACTGTACTGTGTGTAGAACCCCGATATCCAATCAATTGAAAATGCCTTCATTTTTGGAACACTTGCTTTGATAGATCCATGGAAATAAATGTCAATATTCCAACATCCCATTAAACCAGTAACATGTGTCAAAACGTCCTTCGTGAATGTGATCTAACCAAACGCCCTGTTTTGACTCGAAATGAAAACAACTGTATTTTTTCTTTAGTTTCCTATTTGCTGTCACGTGAGGGCGCTGTTCTGATGACGACTTTTTCCCCCATCTCTGAAAACATTGGAAGGGCGTCGATGGGAAAATTACTCGCTGGTCTGTAAGGGGGGGGGTTTCGAGATATGTCATTGATTTCTAGTCAGGAAGCCACTTAAGTCTCGTCTGATATATTATCCTCTTTTTTGAACAAGACTCTCAGTGCCTTGAAAATCTCCATTAAAACGCTATCTCACAATCTTTCGAATGCAGGTTTTATTCTAGCCGGTTTCAAAAGAATCAGACAATTGGCCTGCTCTAAATCGCACTGCTACAAAATTGTTTAAAGCCAACTGCAGTGGATTTTGTCCGTTGGTATACTCGAGAAAAGAAATTGAAAGAAAGCAGCTGCCAAACAAAGAATTCACACAGATCTGCCCTATCCTCCTCTAACTATTTTGGAGGCTGCGAAGTCGTTGATCTTGTTATTACGTTACCCTGACCTTTATGAAAACGGAAACTAGTACATCAGACAGCGAGTAACGCTTACAGAGCTCTACCGTCAAAGAACAATGCTGTTGGCGGCGGATGATACAAATTATCGGCAATGAAATTTGATTGGTTGGGTAGTTCATGCCGACAGACACGGAAATATTGCCTAGTCTAGTTTTGGAGCTGGCAGGACTGATATGTGCTAAACTTGTTACATGTATCAGGTTTTTAAACCCCGGCCTTTTTTAACGTTCGTGATAAGGAAATTCGAGTTTAAAATTGTCCACAGTTAGATCTGGACAAGGAGTAGTCACGAAGAGGAAATACGTCAAAATCTATCGTTGGATTCGTAGACCAGTCGAGATAATATTACATTCGGGGTCCCTTCTGGTGAAGAAGTATGTCAGTTACGAGCATTCTCCCTTGCTGTGATCCTCATGCAGGCGCAACAACATCGTGTGCTGCGAGCAGTCCGTACCGGCAATAGGCCCATTATCACCGGTCGATGTGAATCATGGCTACCCTTGTTTCGCATTGCGCAGGGGTGCGCAGCCTTTTGGCCCGGAACAAAACACAATTTGAGTCCACCTGATGTCCTTCCTGAAAGGGCATTGCTCTGTTGCAGAGGACCAGACATGAGCTTTTGTTCGTGTAGTTCATTTGAAGTTCACCGGCGCTGGTGCTTTCTCATCCCCCGAGGCAGAACCAAAAAAAAAGATGTTGTTACTGTATCTACATGTACAGACCCCTTCACGCTGCGCTCACTGTTGTCGGTCACACGGGCCTCTCGCCGCGTCCTGACCCAGAAAGCTGAGCGGTGTGTCATCAGTCTGGTGCCGGGGAGAGCGCGAACCAAACGGCCCATTGCTGGCGGCCATAAAAACGTCCAATATTTATTTATTTATTCCACGATCGGCTGATAATAATGCACGTTATGAAATTTTGGGAAGCCAGGTTTAACACTGGAGGCTCGTGCATGCATGATGCTTCTGCAACCTCGGATATACAGCGTCGTTGATTCACTGAATTTGGAAGTAGGAGCTTAAAACAGAATGTTATATACATGTACTATCTTTTATGAGCTCTGGGATTGAGGTAATTCAGGAGCTTCAGTTTTACCTTTCATTTAAATGTCCACACAGTGTGCCTTCTTTGATGCTCAATATCGTCACCCAATAGAAAAGATTAAACCAATGATCTGTGAACTCGCTTAGTTGAAATAAAAGAAGTTGAATTTTGAGCAGAGTGCAGTTTATTCCTGGACCAACGTTTTAAAACATCGTGGCCCATGTTTTTGCTCAAAGGTTTCCCGGGAAGAAAATGAAATACCAGAACGGTCTGCATCCTTGATGTAGGTTAGTTGTACTTGGAACCAGCAGCCAGTTCTTGGTGACTGTGCTTTGCTATTTCCCATCATTTCACAATGCATTTCATTCTTTAATAGCCCCAATATCCCAGCCGACAAGTACAGCCCTCACAGTCAACCCCTCCCCCCTTTAAAAACCCATACGGTGAAGTGAGACGGTTTGACGGACCACCAAGCCCGCAATGATATGCATCCTCAATCAAAAGAAAAAATTCCCAGTGCATATTTCGGCTGCAATGAAATTGTTCGTGGCAGGCAATGTCTTTGTGTTCCTTGTCTTTCGACGCCTGGCTTGGCCGATGACACACAGTCTTGTCGCTGGGGGAGAAACGACTTCCCCTCCCGATGTTATTTCGCTCTGCGACGGGTCATTACCGTTGCCGGTGTCGGAACGCAAGGGGCCCTCCGGTTGGACCTGCACCCAAACATTCCCCCTGTTTCTACGCTGTTTTTGCCCCACGGAGTTCTCCCTGCAGGGCACTCCAAATTTCGACATAATCCCCAAACTATTAAAATGTCAACATGTGATTTTTTTCACATGCGAACTTATTTCGTCAATATATAAATCTGTAATAAAAAATGACGTTTATGAATGGTCTAAACTGTGAATTTTGGGGATTGACATAAAGAGGTGACGATTTCGTCAAGAAGTAACATTTACCCACACATTGCTGTACATTTCGGGGACCTTTGTGTGGTGTAGGCTTTATGTAGGGGGAGGGGCATTGGCATGTGGGATAAAATGGGGGGTTGCCATATTGCCACTCCCCCCCTTTGGATGGAATTGTACACTATTCTTTAACTGCTCTCATTTTTCTCTGCTTGTCTTGTTACTGGTAACATTTGAGAAACGTTTAGGATTACCTTCTCTGTTTTGGTCAAAGGTTTCCTGCTAAATCAGAATCGTGTTCGGTAGGTGCCATTTTTCATGGGGGGTTGCCGATTTCTTCGTGTAGTCTTGCTGGCTTTTTCGCAGATTGAGGGGCGTTTTTACATACTTTGAGGGCAATGAAATAAAACAAAGATTTACCTAAGGGCTGCCCTGTTCCAGCATGCCTTAACCGACCTTAATTCCGACGCGCACGCAGCTCGTGTACGTAGTCGACGTTGTTAGGAACTCAGCACACCCATAAAAGTGAACAAAACGGGACTTAACTGCGCATACGTTCGGATGTTAGTTGGGGTCACTCGACAGTGTTCGGTTAAAGCCCGGAGATCCGAGCATGCCGGATAAATGAGATCGTTACACCGGTATGAAACGCGTATTAAAGACCTGCCAAGCACATTACCTGGCAGGCGCTGAAAAACAACAAAATAGAAAACAAATCGGTAGAGGGCGCTATGGTAAAAAAAATCCAAAGCCGGTTTACAGAATGGCTTTGTTTCGATGTCGCTCATTTGGAGCTTCAAACTGGAAACAAGGTTTGATGTCGGAAATTTTGATGTTTCTCAAGAGAAAAGAAGGTGCAATGCGCAGGACAAAAAATTAAGAATTTCAAGGAGGAAACTCATTTTTAAAATCAAGATATTTCTACAATGATAAACTTTTATTGGAATCGCACTAAAGCTTCATTGAAGAGGTTTTTATTTTTTATAATTCGTTATTCTTCAAAAAGTCACCAGTTTAAATGAAATTTGTTGATTTAGACACCCCGGAGACCGCCTTTGCCAACGCTATCACGGCGTCGGGTGTGGCCTTCACAGTGACCCAAGCCTGCAGCCTTGGCGACCTTCTCCAGTGTGGCTGCGCCGAGAGCACCAAGACTAGCGAGGGTCCCGGCCCAGACGGGACCTGGGAGTGGGGTGGGTGTGGCGACAACATCGAGTTCGGCTACACCAAGTCCAAGGAGTTCATGGACACCCAGATCAGGAGACGGAGCGACGTGAAAACGCTGATCACGCTGCACAACAACGAAGCCGGGAGACTGGTGAGCATAATAGTCTTACGGATAATAATTAATATGCATCTGCCATCATCAGTCTTATTGTACCTTTGCCATTCTCGGGACCCCCCTGGGTACACAGTTACCACCCGTTCGGACTTGTCTGAATTTAACTCATTAATGTTAGCATTGAGTTATCTCGACGTCATGCTGTTTAACGCGTTGTATTCTGGGAGCTAGGCTTGCGCATTTTGGAAAGATGGTTAGATCTTTCAAGCTATCTCTGTGAAGCTGCCTGTTAAAACCATTTATTTATATTCTCGAATTCCGATTTCAGGTAAGTGGATCCTACACTTTCATTAAATTAAGCACTTTTTGTACCTGGCAGGAGATCTTAGCCCCCCAAATTTGAAATCAGTCCCCCTGTCTTGAACGATAAATTCTTTTTTTTTTTTAAAAGGCCAAGACTTTTTGGGCCCTCCTGGACATTTTAAACACACTGGTTGAGTGAGGCTAAGTCCCAAGTAGCAAAAATGCCACCCACACGATTCAATCTGTTTAGTAAGGCATCTTCAAGAGACACAGTCCACGTGCTCAGGTGATAGTGCACTGGTCTTATCCTTGTTCAACTTGTTCAAAGCCTGCTTGCAACCTTCCCTCTTATTGACAATAAGCCGGAATCATCCTGCCCTTTCGTTACACATGTTTATCTCTTCGCAACCCGCACTGTTTGTTTGGACACAGTTCGGGCACTCCAGGACACAAAAAAATCTCAAGGAGTTTTTTGTCAGCGCAGAAAAAAAAAAGAGCATCGGTGCATGTGTTTTTTTGTGTTTCTCTAGTCTTACTAAGAAGATACTCCGGATTAACATTCCTAACCACTTGATCTTTATTGGGATCGTAAAGAGCTCATCTTGTCTGAGGTTGGTTTCGAAATAACATCCTCATCCAGAAGTGCTCTCGTCAGACAACAACGCGATTTTTTGTCGCGATTCTGAAGCAGTTTCAAAACAAGTCGGCCATTGTGCACGGAGAACAAAATCTCCTCGGCTCGGATCGTGAACAGAAGTATTAATTCGAGTAAATTGGTCAATAAAGTACTTTCACTGTGAACTCGCAGGAACTTATGGCGCTCTTTTATATTGTAGACTGTTTCTGTTTTGAGAACGGTTACCAAGACAAAACTCTCTTGGATTACTTCCTTTTGAAATGCTTGAGGGAAAAAATCACGCTTTAATCAAAACAGGTCATGGTTGCCATGATCGGGTCGTTTGTAGTGGTTAAATCTTCTTATAAGTTGGCAATTTCGTTTGTCTGCGTTTCCTCGTTCGTTTAAGAGGTAACAGTAATCTATAAACCTTTTGCGAATTAAATTTGAATAAAATCTGGTACATTGAGTTATCTGATTCCCCAGATTAAAGACACTGTTGCTATCCCTCGTGATGCGGGCAAGCTTTTGCATAGCGACCACCATCTCTGGAATGGACTGGTTCCTTTGCGCGCGCCCTTGTCATCCATTGGAAACATTGTACTGGTGCAAGGCGTCTCTTAAGTAACTAAGCAAAAGCTTGCCCCGAATCACGAGGTATAGCAACAGTGGCTTTAGTATGGAGAATTCAAATTGTCACGTTCACATGAATTTAAAGAACTCGGTGTACCAGATTTTATTCAAGTTGAACTCGGAATAGGCTTACTAGGTAACTCCTACGTGTGTATACCGCTCATGCGCAGCATGATGCTTCTTTTCGTTGCGCTGCGCAAATACGGAAACGAGCTGGTCCTGGTGGCTCGAGAAAGATGAAATCAGGATTGGAGAGTGGAGTTCCTATACTTGCATGGAGTATGAAAGATCAGAATGCTCGTTAAAGCGGCTGTTCTCCCAGCCGGAGCCTTTGGATGATGTGTTTGTGTGTTCTCTGAGAGACTGGAGTTAATGACCAAACTTTGGGTTTTTTTCAAAAAGTACTTCCGTTTCTCGGCAAACGGTTTCCTTTCTCAGTCTGTCTTAAGCTGGTCGTTAGGATCATTTTGACGTTCAAACTCTCGCTTCTCAGTTGAGAAGCAGTGATTTTTATTTCCACTGTTATCAAAGTACAGACACCTCCCTCTTGATCCGGTTGTAAAGTGCTCTATCTGGAAACATTTGTTATTATTTACTGAAATAATTTATTGGGTTCGATGTACTCAACATTGACGATTGCCACTCGTCTTATACAGAGAATTTTTGGGGTGTTCGCTTATCATAAATAACAATTTTGGTTGGTCGACACAAATCATCCTGGGTACTGATGCAATCTGTGGCTTTCGACCTATACCACATTAAATTACCAGATCAGTGGAGATTTGAAGTTCGGTGTGGTCCGACTTACAGAAATATTTGTTTTCTGACTGGCACTCCTCAGGGAACAAAACAATTATCAAGAACGCGAGTGCAGACCCAAGAGCACCGTCTATATTCCAAGGCCTTTGTCTACAGAATTACGTTCATGGAAACAACATACCGGTACAGACGCCAAATATGAAGAACATTTGCAAAAGATAATAACTTAAAAATGGACTTTTGGTTTTGATATTGGAAAGATCTATAATTCAGAAATGGCAACGGTGCTTCCTAGGCTCCGCTCAATGTACTCTTACTTAATACTGTTGAATCGTCACAATACCGAACAATAGCTGCGCCTTCACTTTGGCACCAAGACAGTCAGGTCATAATAAGCAAGTGGTAAAGCAAACCGGGCAGTGCCGCACGTGAAAGCCGCCCGATATCTGTAAAGTGTGGATAACACGCACGATAAAATGGTGCCCCATATAGAGGCTACCATAAGCTGAGTCCGTTATACAGAGACTGGTGCCACAGCTCCTCAACATTGGTACCCAGCACACCATCGGTCGTGCGACACCGTACAGCGCCATAGTGGCTATACCACGGAAGGCTCACGGCATAAAGGCTGATACGAGGACTAGCTTTTACCATATACGCAAAATATCCAAAGGTTTCTATAAACCCAGAGGTAACAGTTTATTTACACTTCATCAAGTTCTATATACCTTAGTTTTTTTGTAGGATGACTGGTTAAAGGTATAAGCCTCATAGGGCTCATCGCGTTTCATATCACCCGGAGTCAGTTTTGACAAAGATACCTATCCCGTCAAAATTCTGGCGTAGAAACACAGGACAGAAGCTGAAGTTGATTGCAGATGGTTCCCGGTATTTCTGTATTTATTTCATTAATATACGTCACTCGACCATCGGGACAAATTTCATTACTGTTATGTTGAAGTTTTGCACACTGCGATATACTATCGAGCCTACATGTAGACGCAAGGTCGACGAACGTGTTAACTGCATGAGTGAGGTATAAAAACTTAAATTTGAAGACATTTGATGTCCGAATGGAAATCTCCGTTCAGGGTGATGCTCTGATTTTTTGCTTTGATTGTTTTCGTGACGAGCGTGCGTGCGGATGTGCAGACAGCGAGGAGAAAAAAAATCGGTGGTCGCCCGGAAGGTTTGCCGTGACAGCCACTTATAAAACAATTTGAATGGCTGTAATTTACAGTCGAGATTTTGACAAGATCGAAGCCATCGCATCAACCCCGCATCAACAGTCTGCTCCAGGGCGACGGATTTGTTTAGACTCTCCTCTCGCGAAGTTGTCATAAATAAACCCGGCACTACAAGACGAAACGTCTGGCCACTGTCTGTCGACAATTGCCACGCATGCACAGCTCGGACCATCGCGGTAGGCCCAATTGTCAAGTCGTCATCGTTGAGGAATTGCGAAGAAAATAGACAGCTGGAGGAGTTTTCAGAAAAGCTGGGCATCTATAACTCTTGTCCATTCATCTGGGTTGAATGTCTTGAACTTCTGAATCAATTTCAATTAAAGGTTTAACTTACCGTAGCTGCTATCGGAATTTTTTTCCCCACAAATTTTGCATGAGTCATTCGGATAACTCAGCGTGTTTACGCTGCTCTGATTTACGCGCTGGCACTGATAAACGAGACTATGACAAAAAGCGTGAAATTTCGTCACCCAGTGGCAGATCTTTCCAAAAATGATTGCCATGGTGCTAAAAAAAATTACATCTATCACACCATTTTTCTTGTCGTAATTTACAAGGATCGTTTTGATGAAGAAAAGTTGCTTGCAGAAACGTTTCGTGAGATCTGCGCTCTAGGACAGAACTTTTAGACTACGAGGAAGAAACGCCGTTGTTGCTTGCGGTGCGAGCCGCATGCGCTGACATGACTTGCGCATGCGTTTTAGCTAGTCACAATAATCTACTGGTGCGCAAGCGTGGCATCACTACAGGCAATGGTTGTCCAATTCTGGTCGCTTCATCAGCTTGAGCTTTCCACGTTTGCTTCAATAAAGTCATCCGACATTTTTTATGAGCTGTAGCGAAACGGCATTATACTTTGTTACGTGACCCAATTTCGTTCATTATTATTGGTGGCAAAAATGCATCGACAAGACTGAAATTGACAGTTACTTTATGGCCACAAGGTTCATAAATTCCTTACCAATTGCGTTCCAAACCATCACTGTCCCACGACTTTCATTTTCAACCATACTGAAGTGGTTTATTCAATTTTGAGAAAGATGCATTTTGCGTGGTTACTTTAAGAGCTTTGGTCCACGGGGGACCTGCAGGGTCATTCCCTGATAACAGAAATACGACCTGATTTACGATGTGTTTTGGCTTCTGCCGTATATTCCTGGCGCCTGCTTATATAGTTTGCATGCATCCCTTGATCGGACATCAACCCCTTCAAGAGAGGTTACAAGATTTCCCCCTCCTTTTTGGCGGTCAAGTGTCTACAAGGATGCCAGACGTCTGTGGCCAAAATAGAATGATCTTTCTTCGTGTGACAATAGTGATCGGTATTTTCTTAATTGAAATAGATAATGAAACTGAAAAAAGAAAGAAACTGTGACTTGGTGAAAAACTTAATAACTTTTTCAACTAAGAATATTTTAGTCTGCTTTTGCCACAGTCGTTCTTTCAAGGTCACTCTGTTGCTCTCAGAAATTGTACCCAATATCATGCGGGGAAAACGAATACACTTTACCAAGCATCACGAGAGACGAAAAATGGAGCTGTTGCGATGGATTGACCTAATTAGCTTATTTTCCGTATTTTCCATGTTGCAGACAATCAAGCGTTTCATGCGGCGGGAGTGCAAGTGTCACGGTCTGTCTGGATCCTGCACTCTCGAGACGTGCTGGGAGAAGATGCCCTCCTTCCGTGAGGCCGGCACCCGACTGATGGACCGATACAAGGGGTCGGTCAAGGTGACCGGCGGCAACGACGGCGAGACGCTCATCCCGGAGGACTCTACCGTCAAGCCCCCTACTGAGCTGGACCTGTTGTACTCCGTGGACTCGCCCGACTTCTGCGAGCCCAACCCCAAGACGGGCTCGCTGGGCACGGAGGGCCGGCGCTGCAACAGCACGTCTATGGGGGTCGGAGGCTGTGACATTCTGTGCTGCGGGAGGGGCTACGTGGAAGAGACGGTGATCTACCAGGTGAACTGCCGCTGCCGGTTCCATTGGTGCTGCGAGGTCAACTGCGACAACTGTACGGTCCAGGCCACGATTAACAGATGCAACGGCTACGGTGGCCTATGAGCGACCTTAGGCAGATGGGAAACTGATACTTTGCCCGGCAACCAAACATTAGTCTCGTACGTGTACGTCTACACTGCTGGTTCGCCCTTTCCTTCAAATTCTGATGTAATCGGATTTCACATTTGTCTTTATGCCTTCAGAACTCCTTTGGTCGTATTTGAACTTATATAAATCAAGCAACTTAAAAATTATATTTAGCATTTCGCCATCACAATAACAATGTTAGCCTTCACTTTGATTCTTAGTGCATGTTTTTACAACTATTTGGCAGTATGAAAGAAAACGACGCAAATAGCTTTAATGTTTTCAAAGGTTACGAGCATTTAGCATAAAAGGCACATACATGAAGATTGAAACGTGTGGAAGCTGTAAATATGATTATATTCATAGAAACACATTGACGAGAGAATTAAGACTCCGCATTTATTACTAATTTTGTAAGATGTAAAATATTTTTTATATCACTGAATATAATTTTGTAAGGTCCAAAAGTTTATTGTTCTTATATTTAAATGCTTTCAGAATGTCTTAGAGGACAGTGGCGAATAATTATTAGGAAAACGGTGCCTTCAAAGAATTGAATGTTTTAGCAGTGCCTTTCCCCGTGCACTGTTATTTTAATGTTTACTCCGGATTTCGGATACTTCTGTTGTCGTTTCAAAGCATAAAATGTGTGTAATTGTACGTATGTTGTATATGTTATGCATGCTACTCGCAAAATCGTAAGGTCTGTAGGAAAGAATGAGCCGGTTCGGTATTCCAACTGCGCATGCTAAGTACGAGGCTATTTGGGTTCAGGTACGCGCACGCAATAGTTTGTCCTATCATTGCAGCCGTAACACATGTACCCCGACTCCCGTGCACTTTGTTCCCGAAGGACCTTAGCTATTTGAAATATAAAACTTGCTCATTCATATCTTGGGTGGAAATTCCTCCTTTTTAGGCCAGTCATGCTACTGAATGATGGTATTCATACGTTTTTCTACGATTCCAGTATTCATTAAGCAGTTTTTATGTATCGGCAATTTTGCTTCCAGTGAAAACCAGCGGTGCACCCTGCCTTGACGAGCCTTGGGACAGGGCACCAATTGCAACCTCACTCAAACTATTGCTCCCGGAATTCTCTCAACTGGAATGAAAATTGGTATATTAAAAGGTTAAAGTGAAAAGTCTCCAGGCTGGAAAGTCCATGTACTGTGAGACTGCTTTGTGCTTTTGATTTTTTTTATACTATCAATAGTGTGTGACTGTGTTAAGTAAACGTAAAAATGAATTAAATCACTGCAGCCAGTAACATGTTTTCTTCCCTGTGAAAGGTATTATGAAGTGAATCCTCGTCGAGCAGAAGCACCCCCTCATTGGTTGAATAGAGCCATGTTGGTCGGGAGTGCTCATTTAGCTGGTAGCGATGCGACCGTAACGCGTGCATTTCATAGTCTTGTGAACCAGCGATGAGCAGTACCTACCAAAGGAGCCTGCCGTTGCAAGGAAATTGCGCCCTCTCGTGATCCAGCTCAGGGCTCATAACCCATGGAATCTCTGTCCCAGAGCCTTGCCTTCTGCTGCACTTGTGAGACTCTTAAACGTTAAGAAGACAATAAAAAAAAATTGACCATAAATATGAAAAAATGTGAAAACAAATTAGCCAGAGAGTTTACACCCTTGCAAGTCGTGTTGGTTGCGTATTCATCCGGTGCCCTCTTCAAGGGAGAAAATAGAGACACTGGCCCCTGTCAGTCTCTTTCAGGTAGGGATATGTGTTTGATGGGCAAGAACTAGCCTCTTGATGAGAAAGTTGCTGATATTTTGGTGAAGGGTTGATAGATAACTGATGCAAGAATCATACCTGTAGCTTGTAGATGGTGGGGTCGGGGCGGTCGCTTGTTGAAAGGAGGAACGGTGAATTCTTCATGGCATGGATGGTGGCTTCTTGCCCCATTTTCAATACAAAGGCAAAATTAGTCATGTTAAAATTTCATTTGTATAATCGTAAATGGGACAAAATACAGCAAAGAAAATGAGACAAAACGGCGCCTCCCATCGTTTTGATTTTATTTCCCCGAGTGGTGTACCAGTGGTGTGATTGCGGCACATCTTGCGGGGAGGGACACTTGCGGTCCCGGACCTCGAGCGAGGGGGCCCGTGTCCTCCGCCCTCCTCCCCTTACGCCACTAGCATTTACTGCCTTGGAACCTATATAAACTTACAGTCGGCACGGTGTGCTATCGTGAGGCACTATATACACAAGTGTCTGGTTTTCGTCCCACGTGACATTGCCAAGAATATTGACCGAAGCTTGGAAAAGGTTCCGAGCAAGAGATACGCAATCGGGGATTAGAAAATGTCTGTCAGCGGCCACCGCCCGGGGTCAATGTTAACCTACATGTACCTCGCCCCCTGCCTTTTGTACAATACCCTGAGGAAACGGCGACTCCTGAGGCCACGGATGTGACGCGGGAATCCCCTGCCAACGAATCTCAGCTTTGTCCGTTCACTTTATAATTCATCATGATCTCCTTCTTCCTGTGGGCCTGACAACTCGCAGAAAGTCTTCCATATTACTCCGATCACAATGCCATTTATTTAACATGAACTAAGATTAAATTCGAAGGGAACATTGACTACAATGTATTGTTAAATCGGTGTACATGTAACACCGTGCATATCCATATAGATACAGAGGGGTGTCAAATCAACGCCAGAGTTAGGTTTTTTTTCAGTGGATGCTTCGGGTGTTTACCATTAACGTCTTGCACTTGTTCTGGTTTTTTTACTGGAGCAATGCTTTTGTCTTATCATTACTTGTTGGGTGACGTGAGTAGCCATCGATATTCATGAAGACAGCAACGACCTGGTAGCCTCTGATGCTAACAACACCCCCCTTCATTGGATCGAGATGTAGCTGCTCTTTCCTGTACTGAAATATTGAATCCGGATGCCAAGTAATTTGTTTGACTGTCAGGTTGTCCATATACAAGTTCTTGTGACAACCATTGTCAGAATTTCCATCCGTCATCTACTTCGTACATGGGCGATCCATGCACCTTTTAAAAATATATATTAAACAACCCCCCGATCCCCTGCCTGCCATCTGTCTTGGCAACCATAAACTCAAGTTATTCCTACCTCGGTCTACCATATTTCCCCTGGGTATGCTTCACCGCGGAAATTGCAATTGCTTGCGGAGGGATGGTTTTGTTGGCTCGCGTTCATCAAACAGGACCTACACCAACTTTTTTCCTCGTTCCATGGTCTGTCTGAAATCAGTCACGTACTCTGAAGAGCGATCGTCTGGGCAGATCGTGTGCGGTCCCGTCTGCGTGCCCGATCTGCGGCCCATGTGACCGTTTTGGCGGTGTGCCATTGGCCAGGAGCGGGATCTCTGCCGAAATCAAACTGGGGGCCCCGTTGAGTGTTGTGTGCGGTCACTGAAGTTACAGAAATGTGAAACTGTTGCGGTATTTTACGGATGAAAAACGCCGTCCGCGCATTTTTGTCCTTGTTCTGTGTGGTCCGCGCCGCTGAACTTGTGGGTGGTGATTACCCTGAATTGGACGGCTATTTTGTTCAAATTCACGGTATCGTCTGTTTAGCAAAGCGATTCAATTGGAAAACGGCAGGAGTAAATTTGGCAGGAAACGGATGACCCAGATAACGGTCTGATTTACAGCAACTTGCGCTGACGCATTCTGATCAGTTCGACTGAGCTGCTACCACTAATTCTCTCTTTCCATGTAAACATGTAATGCATGGCTATATACATGTCCATTTCTGTTTGTTTCCTTTCTCACTGTTTGTCATTATGAAAAAGGTAGTTTCCATTCAACAGAAACGTTGTAACAACTCCCGGCACTCATAACTTTGAGTCTCATTAGCTTAGTTGGCAGGGGGGGGGCATGCAGAGGGGGCAGGGAGGTTTCAAACACCCTCTGGGCAATATCGAAAGGAACAAACAAAATTCGATTGGCAAATAAAACAGCACATATTGGCCGGGCATAACCAACAGACACGGGATCTTTAAGTTAACCATAAAAGTTGAGATTTTACTAGCATGCGCAGTAGTGTGCGTGGTGTCAGTAGGTGAGGTCTTGAGACTTGCACGTTGTTTCTTTTCGTTTACTTGGAGCTCTGGAGGGGCCAGTACTGTCTTTAGATTCAAGCATGATTATAGCACTGATAGATACGAAACAGCTTGCGGTCTCCCAATAATAGAAAGAAGTGTTTGCATTATTTTAAGAATAGTCCATCTGATTAAAAATTAATGTTGAAAGATCTTTTTTTCATCTTTCTTTTTGGCAATGGTGGCCTGAAAGCAACACCAACTAATGGTTGGTAAAATTGCAGTTACAGTGACGTAGACAATAAAGCTGTATCTAGAATCGCAGCTGGTGAAAATGTCTTACGTCTGGACTTGCTTCAAGTCACTCTGCGCCCTCCTGAAGCTCAAACTTGCAATTTCTCTCCCGGTTTTGTGGAGACTACGAAGGCTGTCTGTGTAAAATGACGTCAGTGTATTCCCCTAACTCCCTCCCCCCGAAGCAAGTATGGCCTAGCTCATCAGGCAGAAAGGAAACCCACCAATTTCCTCATTTCCTTAAAAATGCAAAGGAGGGGTATGCGGCACAGAGGAAGCCAGCGACATGAAATGAGATTATGATCTTGTAAGGGTAGCACGCATGCATGGAGAGGTTGATGTGGTGAGCGTTTAAGTCGGCCAATGGGATATCGCGTGAGTCCATGTTCCAACACCAATCCCTCGACAGATTTGGGTTGCTTTCAAGTGGCACGATATCGTGTAGCAACTTGAAGAGTAGTTCCACCATTCCATGCAATCGGCTTCCAATAAAGAATATCATCTCAAGAATAAAAAGCATTCACGAGAATTCCTGTGATTTGTATATATGCAGCTTCAAGATCTAAGTGCACTACGTTTGGGAGAACAAAACAGGTTAAATGTGGGTGTGCGAAGTATGAGCAGTGACGTAGCTAATGGTGTATGACTACGCCCCCATGGCAGTCAGTCTCCACCCCCAGCTTGTACTCCCTTTCTCAAATTTGCTAAGAAAATGTCATGACTAAATCCATTTAGTACTGAACTACAGAAGAAAATCAAGCACCCTTGTTAAACTGCACAGGCCTCGTTAAAGTCAGTAACCTCGACGGTCGTCGACGTGGTTCTCGATGGAAGCACCTTCATTTGGCAGGCACTGCACGCGTTTCAAGAGAAAGTCGTAAGCAAATTCATACCCGTACATTTAAAACACCGGGCCATTCACTGATCTCATGTACAGATTTTGTATTTCAGGAGTTAATTACTGTACATGTAACGATGATTCAAATCGGGTCAACTGTGGTCAAATTGCCCAATACACCATACCACAAACATAAATTCAGCAGATATCGATGATTCCCAACATGCATATGGTCTGCGGTTTGATTTCCTGTCCATGACAATAATATATGGGATGCAGGGTGCAACTGGATGCACAATTTACATGGGGGCCCAAGACCGTATTTGATGAAACCGTTCTAAACAATTATTATTGGCTTTCTTCAGAGCACGTTGGTCAACTAATGAACTGGCGTTTAAACCGAACCAGTTTTCTGTAAAAGGAGCCAAGGGTGACAAGCAGGCAGAAACATAATGGCTTAAAAAAAGGTGTTGCTTTCCCGGGAAGGTAAATCCGATAATTTTTGCCCAGAAGATAAAAACTACACCGACATAAATAATGCCATAAGGGTTAGCTTTGTAGGGTAAGTGCTGATTGAACGCAAGAACGCTGGACCTTCTCTCTTTTGGCAACAGAGGGCGTACTTCAGCTACAGTAGAAAGGTCCGTTCGAAGATAGGTCTTCCTCAGAACAGTAAGGAAAGGAATGGGAATTTTTGGAAGAAAGAAATCTTCTTTGTTCAAAACATGTCGCTAAAATGTCAAAGCCCGACACAAAGAAACTTCACCACAAATTGTTAAGTTTATATTTCACACAGCAAGTTTGCGCACGGTTTAATGCCTGACATGACTCACACTGGCCTGCCTTTGCATAACAAGTTAAAAAAAATGCAAAAAGCGTTGTGGTCTCTTGGTGAAGCATTCCCAACAACAGGGTTGCCCTAGGCCTGAACGCATGTACACTGTATAATTAATACTCAAATCAGTTTCGTTGACGGACCACTATATACAAATACACTGCTAGCGCTGATTCTGCGTTTCACATGCATTTAGGCTCCCTAGATTGGAATCGCTAACCCCCACAATACACAGAAGAGTTCTACCAGATGAGTTAACAAAAAAGACCCACGGATTTCAAACAGTTTGGAAACCGCACTCCCTTGGGGAATATAAGCATCAACCCCCCCGTTATCTCATAAAAACGATAATTTCACTGTGTGATGAGGCCGTCATCGACAATACGAGCGATTCACAATAGTGCGCCACCAAGAGTGTGCAACGCGTTGGCCAATCACAGCGGGCGAAATCTGTCGACCCTTTCCAAACGCGCATTTGGTCGACAGATTTCGTGCACTGTGATTGGCCAACGCGTTGCAAACTCTCGGTGGCGCACTATTGTGTAACTGCCGTACTGAATTTTTTTTTTTCAAATTGATATCATTTTACCAATGCCGAGGATGTATGGAATAGTTTTGTAACTCAAATTCCCAATGCATTCCATTGAATAAAATCTTAAAATTAATTGATCTTGTGCCAATACAAATATCGTTATTTGCTTTGATTCACATCTAACGCATATGCAATTTTCAACTGCTTAAGATATGAGTTTATTCTTGTAGCAATTAAACTTGGTGAATTGAACATTATACATGTAGGCCTACATGTAATTTATACAGTTAGGGTACGTATTAAAAACAGAGTTGTACATTAACGAAACAGTACCCTTCTCATTTGAGAAGTAACTAAAATGTTACCTTTCACCATGCACAAAAGGAGCTGAAAGTCAGAATTTTCAGAAATAGAGATATCGGTATATTTGGGGAATAAACTAAATAGACGGGTTACTCTTTCCAAATATGACACAAACTTGACCTCCACTTCAATATTTGACTTTGAACCCTCAAAATAGTTCCCGCAAATCGTCCAAAGAGGGCGCTGAACCATTCATCCACCACCGGCCGACACAAAATGTATTTGTGTCGTAAACATTGAACACTGCAGAACACCAAATTACACTCGATTGGTTTCCCAAAGCTCGGGAGGGATCAAAATAAGTTTTCAAAACATTTTTAATTTTACACATTACGATTACGACAAAAATGTGCATATCTCTATGTTTTCTGTGTACTTGGAGAAAGCTTCATGACTAACATGTACATGTAGTTTTGATATACACAAAATTGTACTCTTAAAAACAACAGAATCTCGTCTTACCCGACCCCCCCCCCTTTAACAGTACCTTGAAAAACTCTTTGAATCTTTTTAACAAACCACAAATTTGCGCTCGAAAATATATCCAGTTAACGTTGGATTTTCTTTCCTACAAAAAGCTGCTCGGCCATCGGGCGTTTTTTCTTTTAAATTTTACCCTTAATTCTTCAAGCTTGCACTTGTGCTTCAACCCAACCAAGTACGACGCGTTAATGCGTAAACCACGGAAATAAACAAAGAATTCTTAGACGAGTGTACACGTCCTCCGTGAAACAAATACGGAAAATTATGTGTGTTTACCAGTGTAAACGAGTCCATCACGAGGCCCTTTCCCCTTTCACAAGTCCCTTCACAAGTCCAGTCACAAGTCCTTTCACAAGGCCAGTCATATGCAACAGGGTGAACAATGACAAAAGAATGCTTTTGTCACAGCTCTTTTGAATAGCTTGTGAATTGGCTTAAGACTGAATGACGTGTAATGGACTTGTGATGGACTCGAATAGTACACACGGGGGTTTACACGGCATCCGGCGTCCAAGTGGTCAAAAGACAAAGTGACAATTTCCATAGAGTGAAAACAAAGCCCACAGATAGTACAGCAAACGATGACCCAATAGTTACATTAAAGCCACCGAGCTGCAACGCTCAAAATCATTGAATTACACACATATTTTAATGTAGAATTCAGGCCACAGCGCAACTTAGTGAGCTGGTTTTTGTCCATATCCATACATTTTAAGCTGGAATTTCCCAGCAATATTCTTTAAGTCCCATGTCCAGCTAGGCAATGGTAAAGGCTGTACTAAAAAATTAAACCGTATCAAACAATACTTATTTCGCACGCTAAATTAAAGTTAATAAAAGTATCATATAATATATATTTACATGATAAAGATTCATGGACAACACCATGTCTCATGGTAAAAATGCTATTTTCACTGTTTCTACTTCGAGCGCTCTTGGTTGACATTTTTGGTATTTATAGTTTTTCTGCATGATGGTGCTGAATAGGTCAGATTTTGTGGAACCAAAAATGCATATCGCAGTTAAGAAAATAGGTACACTGGAGTAAACATCGCGATCTACGGGTTTATGTGAGGGTCCCTGTTTAAACATGTCAAAAAGAAAATATGTTACACGAATTTTAAAATTTCTTTTTTCTGACCGGTAATTCAAAATGACTGGAATTGTGAGATTTAAACACATAAGACATGGTTTTGAACACGATGTTTACAGAAATACCAATTCATACATGTACAGTATACAATCTTTTACCGGCATCGATATACGGTCCTTACTGTCGTACACTCTTGGCATTTCACTTTGCAACACCAATGGAACGTGCAGCTACACCTCTCTTTGATTCGAACCTGGGACCCGTCATAGTCCCGCCCGCAGCACATCAGGTCACACCCGTCCACGCCCAGGGAGGTGTTGTTGCACTCCCTCCCCACGGTGCCTAGGGTGCCCACCTTCTCGTTCCGCACACAGAAGTCCGGCGAATCGTCGAAGTAGACCAGGTCGCGGGCACCCGGCGGCTTGTGGTTGGCGTTGTAGGGCTGGAAGTTGGCCTCGGTGCCGCCCTCGGTCCGCTGGCCCCGGTCTCGGCCGCGCCCGCCCCGGTTGCCGTTGTTGTTGGTGCTGCCGCTGCCACTGCCGCTGCCGGATGAGCCGCCGCTGCCGCTGCTGCCCCGCACTCCCTCGTTGCGGAGCGCAACACGGGATGCGCCGTCGAAGCGGTCCTTGAGGAACTCGCCGACGGTGCGGAAGGTCGGAAGGCGCATCCAGCAGGTCTGGATGGTGCAACTGCCGGACATCCCGTGGCACTTACATTCCCGTCGCATGCCGGACGAAACCGTCTGAAAACAAGGGGAAAATATGACAGATATTATGGCTTCGCTCTTCACGTAAGCGTACCGTTTTATTCCCCGAAAGCGGAGAAATGACGTGGTGTGATTCGTCTGCTCGTTGAAGTACCAAGGAAAGAGTTAAATTCCGTTTAGGTTTTCCAAAATACAGATTTCTCCATTTTAGGCTCCTGTTTAAAGATGATTCTGAGGGAAACACACAGATTCAGTTCGTTCATTTACGATATTTGTCTCGTTGCAAGCATTGGAATCGAACGTGGTTGTTGTCGCCGTTAAAACGGAAGACGCAGAAATGTATCCTGGGCGTGTAAAAAGGCCCCTTTGCCGAATATCTACTTCGACATTGCTTGTACAATTGCCCAATTGTCTACACTTTCATCTGAAAGACAAAAACACCCGAAATATGGATTTCCATATACAAAATAATTTCCAGTTAGATAGCATTGTCATTTTTGTTACTTTTCTGGACAGTTTGTATCACTGCCTCAAATTATGAGGCAGGGTGTTGCATCTAGGAATTGTCCGAGAGGAGGGGGGGGTTCGGACGGAATTTACTTCACAAAAACGCTCATGATGCTCAAGCCTTCCCCACCCACGTGCCATGTGTCAGAGCAAAGAGTTAGAAACGTGCGTGAATATCTCCGTTAACTTAAAAAAAAAAGAATAAATATTTCGGGGGGGGGGCTGAACCCCAAAACCCTCCCAGATGCGCTAGTTGCGCCATGAGGCAGTTTCAAAGGTCTGCACAATTTAACAAGAGAGCTTAGACTGAGCTGGGAAAAATGCATGGGTCTGCAAGTAACTCATTCACGGCACAATCGAGACATCCCACATGCATGACTCACCGCGTATATCGGCAAGATCGACATTTTAGTAGTCTTTATCATTATCCTGGCGTTGCTCAGTATAAAAAAGAGCAGTACATTGGATGATTCCCCTCTGTGGTTGTACCGACTATTATACACCTTTACCCCAGAGTTTAATACCCGACTTAAAAAGATCAAGCAATGCCACCACCCACTGTTGGAAACAAGGTTTCCCAATTGTTTTCTCTAAGGGTGCTACTAAGTACTTTTTACGATCTCGGTAGTAGGGGCAATCGCGAACGTGGGCAGGCCTCATAATTTTGGCGTAAACGCCCGTCATGCAGAAAAGGGCGATGTGGAACAGGTAATTGCACGGAGGAGACTACATCTCATTGATTTCGGCAAACAATACAGGGGTCCCTCTTTTTTAACAGTGTTGATTTCTTTGACTGCGGTATTATCGCTGAGCTGAAAGCCAGCGGTTTACGACTGTGATGTCGCCGCCCTGACGCAGGCGCGAGGCATCGGGCCGTGGAGGGTCGAGGCGGCGAGGGAGGATAAACGCGGGTACAGCCTCTCTTCAGCAGGGTCTCGTCACCGGTCAACGGAACCCGGCGATGGCTTTCACAGAAAAAGAAAGGTGCTTGAGCAGGGATTGCCGGATGATGACATGGTCATAAATGCCGACAATGGCATGAGTTGTGTACCGCGCATTCTTAAAGTGAGACGGCACTTATGGCTGAAGCAGGGAACTCTGACACAAGCAATTACGCTGCATAAATAGAACCGTTTGAGATGACAAAGGCAAACAGTTGTGTTGGCGAAATTACCAGATTCAAAAGGAAAAAAAGAAAGACGGGGGGGGGGGGAAAGAAGGAAATTGGATTTTTGGAAATGGTGCTTCGTGGGAGGGGAAAGGGTTGCCTCACTAAAAGATTGTTAAGAGTCATTGAAAATACCAAGTGTTGGAACCGATTAAACGATCAAAGTTGCTGTTAAGCATTAACCCCCCCCCAAGGGATATGTTTTGCATAGAGAACGAAATAGAAATGAAAAATCAAAAAGACAACTTGAAACTGAGTAATTTTGTAAGTTAGGTGTCATTAAAGTACTACGTGGTCACGTGCCAAATTTTTTTTCATTGCTGAGTTTAAAATAGGAATTCATACGAATGTAAACAGGTCACCCGTACGTCCGCAATTGCATTTTACATAACTAACCACATATAGCCCTATATAAGGGCCACCAATAGTTAAGAGATGCACTCAACCTTTACAAATCCAGCATTTATACAAAAATAACCAATGAAAAGCTGGGGAAAATCCCTATTTTTGGCTGGATACCGAGGAAGTAATTCTCGCGAAGAGAACATTTACAGGCTGTGCAATGTATATTATGTGCGAGTTTTAATCGTTGAAGGTGCGCATGTGAATACAGCGTGCACTGTTTCTCGCTGAGTTTCCCCCCTGCAGCTTCTACACGTACTTTGAAAGCTCGTTTCTTCTAGAGCCCAACTTAAGAGAAGATTAGAATTTACGCAATAGGAAAACCGCTCTTTTGTCTCACACTGGTATGCTGAGAATACTTTCATATGAAATAAATGAAACATATTTCAACCACCAGAACCTACCAGTCTTCCAACTTCGTTGTTGTGAATGTTCATCATGAACCGCAAATCTCGCCCCTTCTCGTCGGCGTCCACGAACTTCTGCGAGAAGCGGTGGCCAAAGGCGATATTGTCGCTGCATCCGCCCCACTCCCAGTCGTCGCCGCTGGGTCGCTGGTACTTGTAGTCGCAGGTGCACGTCTCTACGCTACCTTCACTGCAGGAGCGGGCCACAGAGTGGGTGACAGCGGCGCTGGTAATCGCGTAGATGAAAGCCGTTTCTCTGCACGCTGTGTATAGGGAAAATCACAAGAAAAATACCACTATTTTGAGTTTTATTTTTTGAGGGTACAAAAATCAACCCTCGAGCAAAGGTGTGAAGATACTATATTATGGCTTAGGCGATACCTCCCCAAAACAAACAGTTGCAAAATGTTGAGGCTGTTTGGTGTGAAGTATATGTGTGAGGCTGTACTCTTACGTTTCAGTTTTAGCATGTCATACTGGTTGAGGAGATTTTATTTTTTTGAGGTGGAAATCGCGTTTTTTCAATGCGGAGAACAGTAAAATGACTTCTTAGGATGTTTGGTCCATTCCACGTCGAGACAGCACAAACATTAGCTGAACCTTGTACGAAACATTGATCTGATGCAAAAGACATGTTATACATTCATAAATTTATATCTAATCGACCACATTATGTGGAACGTCGAAGTTTAAACGATTCACTCCCAATTCTCCAAGTATTTATATGTTTAGTGTCTGTTCTCTCATGCAACTGATGAGTTGTTGCATGGCTACCAGAGCGCGTATTGATATCTGCATTTCAGCCCGCCTACCTAGCCGCTGGCACAGTGTTACCCACTGGTACACTAACCAGCCAAACATTCTTCTGCAATCGATCCTATAAAACGGATTGATTGGATTGTCCAGCTAATCCCCGTCATCCAATTGTGCTGATCCCTCAAATCATTCACTGAAACCACCTCGCGCGAAGCGATAATTCAAGGGGGAAATGGTCCCCGTCGGAGTGCTTCGCTACAATACCCACACCCTCCGTCAGCATCTACTGAGAGTGGAATTTGTAAGCGACACCCCGCCTAAAAGACAATGGAATAAACCACATTTATTCCGCGCGACCAGCCCCAGAGAAAATAAAGAAACGGTCGACGAGGAAGAAGAGCGACTCAAGATCGTCGGAAACCGTTTGTTTGCCGAGGAAAACATCACTTTGAGAGTGTACCCCAATGAAGTACCCCAAACAAGGGGCCCAACAAGGACGGTGGATTGTCGTGTCGGGTTACTGCCGGTCAGACGTCAAGAAAGATTGGGCAACGAACGCCTCACAAGGGAAACTTTTCGAAACGCGTGTGCGATTCACGTCGGGCGCTAATTTCGCTCTACGTTTCAATTGAACTTCGTCTGCAGATAAGCTCAAATTACAGATTTGTAATAAAGAAATGACAGTTTCAAGTAATTCTTGAACTGTTACAACTCATTTTACTGGACGTTTATCTGAACCTCGAAAACAGGTTGCAGACCCATTTCTTGAAACACTTTTCAGGTAAGCATGGTAACCCATGCCTCACTGCCGTTTGAAGGATGACCGTCCAGGGGAGACAGACAATTAACAGTCTATTAGATCCCAATAATTGTGCCTTTTTGACGGTTTGTCCTTTACAAACAATAACGATGAAAGCTCACGCACGTTTGAAGCCATTGAGCAAGGAGTCAAGTGAAAATGGAATTTGTTGTCGCACAGCACTGATCAAACGTCACTTTGTAAAAGATCTGCGTTTTGTAATAGAATACCTAAGCGTGAAGAATTTAGTGTTGAGCTCAGCGGTTCTCACGGTAAAGTCTCTGCACAGCTCTCCATTTTGATCAATTTGTCTTGAAAATTCCGTGAACGGCTTTTATAGTTTGATTTATCACTGGGCAGGAGGGCACACCGTTGATGAAAGACATGTTTTTCCGGCAAATCATGCCAAACTCGTGAAATTTGAGGAAAGAGTCTTCATGCAGACGACTGTTGAACATCTCTGAATGACTTGTTCAACCGTCTAATGCCGAAATCTCCATCCAAGATGTCTCCTCCTCCAAAACAACCACGCCATTTGCATTTACAAAATCCTTTGATTTCTTTCAAAGAGCCTCCTAGTTTTAACATCAAAATTCTTCATATAGTTGAAGGCGGCACGTTTATCTCGAGACTCACAGTGTTGTGTCCGTATTTGAAACGTTCGGGTCAGTTCTCTGCATTATGAATGACGAACAACGATCCAGCCAAATATTAAAAAAAAATTGAGGGCACTGTGCCACGTCAAGTTTCTCATCCGTACCACGCACAACAGACTACAGACAACGCTGAAATTCTTTTCTGAAATCTCGACAGTATCATCCTTCATCCTGTTATATTGTGACGGCTGAATAGGCTGCCAAATACGCGGATTTGTTTCTTGAGCCTTGACGGACCTTTCTTCGATAATGGATGAACTTCCGATGGTTCGGCATTCGGGTTAAGCCGGTATGCAGTTGGGGGTGGAAACAGCGAGGACATAGCTGCGGGCCTTACACTCTTCCAACTCCTTCGGAGGGTAACCCCGAGGGTTTCCAGCCGGGCTGGGTGAGATTGATCACACCCTCATCCAAACGCGCCAGGCTCAGCCAGCTAAACCATCTTGGAAATCCATTTCATAGTATAGAGTGACGAATTGGGGTCCGCTTGGGTTAATGGCGACCGTACATATTCCAGAAATATATATAAAAACTGGCTGGGGATGGAATGTTTCCTTTATATCTTGGTGGTGTTTCAACAGAAGCAGGTTTATTTAGGGCATTCTTTCAATAAAACAAAACCTGCCTGTTAGTTTATTTTTTTGTTTCGTTCAGTGCAACGTCAGCATTTTTCAAATTGACTTCAATTATGAATAAAATTTTAGGCAACTTTCTAAAATCAGATTCGTTGGGCGGGTGGCCTGAACTGAACGGTGACGTTTTTCTTTGACGTTGTATAAAGTTGCCTAAAACGCAATGCCCTGAAATGTTTGAAATTTCAGGTACGATCTGACCAACGTAATGGGAAGACTTTTCCCAATGGTCACGGACGGAGGCAGAAAGTCAACTCGCGCCCTATGGTTTTTGAACACAGTTTTAGAATTATACTGCCGTGTAACCTTAATGGTCTGGATTACCACGGAAGGGATAGAACGGAGCAGAATATATAGCGAAACTATGTCCGAAACGGGCCTCCAGAGCTACGGCTAGGTCTATTGTCTACGCGTCTCCACGCATTTCCAATGGAGTGAAGACCTAGACCTAGCTCTAGACAAGAGATTCGGATGCAGCGTAGGATCTACCGGTAAGCTTGACCCCATAAGCTTATGCTGTGTTGGCCGGCCGGCCTTACGCCCATGAAAGAGACAGAAACAGCTCCAACCGCCGTCGTTTTATGGAACATAAAATTAATGTAAAAAGTCACTGTGGATTAATTTGTTCAAAGCATGTTTTTAGACTCTTTTTACTCCTTAAGCCTTACAAACGATCTGCTTGCACACTTATGATATTTGCTGATCAAATGAGTATGCATACGAGGTACCTAAGTCCACAACCTGGTAACGAGTGTTGTTGTCGTTTTGTAGAAGTAGGTGCGTTCTGAACTTATTTTCGCTTGTTCAATGAACTGCGTTTCAGGGCCACATTCCTAAGTAGACACGTACACACCGCGGAGAACTCATTTCGAAAATAAGTTATTTGTCCACGAGAGGGCAATTTGTGTACCAAAAGTGTGACATCGCAGCAGAGAGCGATTAATCAAACAGTTTTGCGCCCAAACTCGGCGGGACCGATCGGGGAGTCAATGTTATTTGGTATGGGCCAACAAAAGGGCCTCCTCGTTCGTAACTGTCGGTGAAACCCCTTTGCGCTGGCTGTTTTCGTTCCCTCTATTCGCTGGCTATGCCGATACCAATTCCGTCTGGAATTTGCTCCGTCTTGCACAGCTCGTGTGACTGAGACATCCACGAAAAAGAGAAGAAAAAAGAAATTGGTAATTTGTGTTCGATTGAACGTGATATCTTCACAGTAAAAATGATTGCATGAACGGTGCAATTTAGAACTCTATAGGTTTCATCAGTGACACGGGTAGGCTACCGGTACCTAATTTTCAAAACCTTACACATTTCAACGTTTGAGTTTCCGTAATTATTCATGTACCTTTCGTCTTTTTAATCTCCGGAGGGGAAAAGGGGCTGGCCTTTCATCATTCATTAAACACAATCACTGTTGCGATTTTTTATTAGCCTACAAAATGTGACAGGGAATAATGAACTAATATAGTTCAAGTTAAAAGCTTTTTCACGTTTAAGCCTATACATTTCCATTCAACTTATTAAGCGAGAAACTGCCGCCGTGCTCTTAAGTTCTAGCATATTTCTGCTGAGGTAATTTCCAAAGTCTTGTGTTTTGCACACATTTTTTTAAATTTCTGTATTAATTTTGTCTGTGGTTTCACATTAAATATTCGAAAGTAATATATCAATAAAACGATCCCCATCGTCTGTTCAGAAATATTACTCGCTTGTGTGCTCTGTTGTACGGCTTCAGACATGATTCCGCGCAGTGTACACGTACAATATTGTATACGTGCACGCATCCCGCTGGCAAGGCCTCCCGGCAACACGCACTAAGGGCCCTTGGTACCACTGTCAGCAGGTCGCCCCAGTCGGCGTGCTTTGTTACGGTATTAAATGTCCTGGCTTGCACCCGTTTCCAAACAGCCTTTACCACCTTTGCTTATTTTGTGGTTTCAGAAAGTTGGTGAAAAGTTTCCTCCCTGTTCAACCCTCCACGCGGTTGGGGAGGTTGTCAGCCCCGACCACGCCAAATTGATTCGGAAACGCGAGAGAAAAGTATGGCAAGCCTACACGAATGCTGAAATGTCGCAGGCCTCTGGAGGCCATCAAAAGAAAGAAATGACCGTGTTGGTTTTAAAAAAAAACGGTGGATACAAATGTTTGCCGATTCTTCACAGGGGGAAAACAAACTTTCAAGTGATCTGTTTTGACGGGAACATCTGCAGATTATGGGGAGAAGTTATTATTGCTCAGTTGAAATAAGCTCCAAATCGACGCGTGGAGCAGCCTTCTTTCTAGATGATAATTCGATTTGAGAGTTTGATTGTTCTCCAACCGGATACACACAATATTATGATCTGCAGCACACTGATTTTATTGATGTAATTTTATTGTGCTCTTGGTATCGTTTTCAAATTATTACAAGGAAACCACACACAAACACGTCTGAAACTCAAATATATTTTGGACAAAATACCAACAAAGTCTCATCAAATTATCAGGCCGGCTGTCGTACCCGTACCGGGTTTTCTGCGGTCTGTAAACTTGACATAAGATCAAGTGCGAGGCCTTGCGGCGGCCTGACCAGCAGCAAAGGCGGCCCCAAGCCGCGAGTTGATTTTCCACCAGCCTGCCGCCCGCTGCACGGCGGATCAAGTCACATGGCCTCACGCCGCGTTGATAGTTTTTCTCATCAAGCGCGCCACACCGCCAGTAACAACCAAAATAAAAAAATGTTAACAGTAACATTCTCATTGAGATGTTTACTGGGCCTCCCAATTGTTTTCTGCCTTTTCCCCTCCCGGCAGACCACCAACACGCGCGTATAAGATGAAATTCTCGGCAGAGTGTTGCAACTCGCGAGTAGGTTGCAGAAAGAATGCAACTGCCGGCTGATTCGATTAGGACTGCTAGCCATGTCGTGCGGCGAGCGGGACACCCGTGTTTGCACATTATTTGGCCCGTCATCCCTGGACCAAAATTTGCTCTGACAGAATTCGAAGGGCCTGGTTCAACGTACATTTGGGAATCATAAACTACATATTTGTTGATATCATCAGATGCACTTTCTTTCTCGATATTGTGGCTTTTTGTTTTGTCAAAACAGTAATTCAATATTTTGTTCATATTAAGTAAAGCCCAAACAAGACTGTTTCTGTCATTTTAAGTGTTAGTACATTTTAAATTAAATCTTCGTCTTCAAACTAATGAATGTTTTTAAATGAAATTTTGGAGGTCTGAAACAAACGATCCCTAATTCCCTCGTAGGTTAAAACGATTTCTGGAAAAGGATTGCCCCAAGGAGAAAGAGTTGAGTGTTGGTTACAACTTTTGCAATTGTTTTTACAATCAAATTAATTCCAAAACAGGGCACAAGCTCAGACAGTATTAAACGACTGCTGCAAATTTTTACACGGACAGAAAGTGTTCAATGGGCTTGAACCAGCTTTTCTTTAAGGGGGAAGGGCTGACGCTAAATGAACGTGCCTCGGTAGGCCTACGTCATGCGCACCAGGGGATTCTAGGGCAGGCTTCAACGGGCATTAGTTTTGAACCTGCGTTCTGAAGACACTTCGAGAAAAAAGCTCCAGAGTACGAAATCAATTTTTTCCAACCTCGTCCCCAGTGGTGACTTCACTTTTAGGATGGCTTGCAATAGAGAAAAGCCTTTTTTCCTGCGTCCTGATTCGATGCAGCAACAGCAAGGTAACGATTTCTCTCGTGTATTTGGTGTTTCAGATTTCAACGTGCATATCGTGTTTTCGCGTTTTGTGTTAATCATTACATTCATTTTCCTCGAAACGGTCTCCTCCATTTTGATTAAAATGATTAAAAAATGGATACTGCTTATTGGTTGGATGAAATGTCGACTATTTTTTCTTTGGAAAAAAGGCACTACACAACACACCACCCAGAACTGACCCAGTGTTAATGCCAGACACCTCTTCCAAAAACGAACGCTGACTGAAAGTGCGATCAAGCACAAGATAATCCCGAGCAGTCAAAAATGTTTGGATGTGCAAATACAGTGTAATGCAATTTCAGAATGGAAGCAGGGAGCCGTGGGGTCACCCTGCTCGACCAGATTGATCTTTTTCAAGACATTCATCATTTGCCACATTAGACAGCGGCTGGGGTGCAACCAACCACCCCCCCCCCGAATAGTTACGCTCTCCCTATAATGAACGTAGTTCAGTGCAGAGTGGAAAAAGAAAGACAAGTGTTACCTATATTAAGAATTTTGCCGAAGAGACTGTTGGCCCCCTGAACGTTCATCAGAGTGGGGCAGTTCCACCGTCGGTTCTGGAACTGGAACTTGCACTCGGTGACGGCCGTCTTGACGGCCTGGGAGATGGCGAGTAGGATGCCCGGATTGTCTCGCACCATCCGCCGTTGGCGCTTATTCAGCGGCCGCATCTGCGGCTCCAGCGAGATCTCTGTGCCTTGCGTGTCGGTGACGATGTTGGACTTTTGGGGGTAGGTGGCGATGCTCCTGGAGTGTAAAGGGAGGAAAGAAAATACATTGAATGCACTGGGCTGCTCGAGATTCTAAGCTCTTGTTGATGCACGAGATAGCAAGCTAAAGAGATCTACGGAAAACGGGTTTCGTGTCTTGCTTTATCAAAGACTATTGCCAAGCTGGAAATCCTTTTCCAAGTCAATTTTTTTTCCATTGCATTTTCAACATCAGTAATCAAGAGGAAATGAACGAACAAAAAACCTCTCTGCTTAAAGATCACGAGAGGTTTGTGTTGCAATTAAGTTTCTAGAAGCTATCCTTCCCCGCAAATTTACTGTGCAAGGTGCGTGCCATGTTTACACTGCATTGTCTTCCAGCTGGGACGACTCCGCCGTGACCTTACGCGAGGGTACTTTTGACAAGACCTCTTAAATCACAGACGTAGGTCTAAATGAAAAAAAGAAGCCAGTTTATCATCAGTGTCTGGCCGGGTGATACCAAAGGATAACACCGATGCGTCATCAAGATTTTTATGTTTCCCTCCCAATGTTATTGCTGCAGGATTTAAAGGCGCAGTTATCCTTGTCTTTAGGGTCTTTCCAGAGAAGGGTTGGGCATTCATGTGACATGCCACAGATCCATATGCCTACTGTAGGCTTCACACATCTCGTCTGAAGTGGGTAGAATCTTAGTGTACTTGAGTAGAAAGCAACACTCGTGGCCCCTCAAGTCTGTTTCACCTTTGTGTCCCTACTCAGGACTTTTTTTTTGACTTTTCAAATGGAAACTTTATTTCATTCCATTGAAATGAACAAAAATACAATAAGTTACAAGAAATTAGAATATTTACACATAAAAGATTTGTTAGAGATACAATATAACCGGTAACAACCGTCAACAGTTGAAATTATTACAATCGAGAAGAAGACATGTAGGGTAAACAAAAGAGAAAAACAACAGCAGCAAAATTTAGTCAGGAACATTGTACAATACATGGGAGGAAACATACACTATTGACCAAGTACATGTAACTAATGAAAATATTCTATGTGGCTCGGGGGGCGGGTTACTAGAAGGAGAGGTGGAGGGCCTGCTCAGGATGGAGAGGACAAAGAGAGTATCATGCTGTATGAAATCGCGACCACGTTATACCAAGTGCTCCCTCCAAAATGATGCAGACTCAAACATGTTCCCATGGATTTGCCTCCTTGTTACACCACTGACTGAAAGATCACACTGGCATGATGTGATCTGAGACACTTGAGATAGAAACATTTTCTCTATGATTTCGTACAACAGTTTTCTTGTAGGTTTTTTTTAAACTTGCCTTGAAAATGTTGGAAGGGGTCAGCGATGCATTCCAATTCATGAGCACTTTGGAGCTCAACCAAGAACCCGAATCACGTGACATTATTTCTTGAAAGCCTTAACTGATTTTAAATCATAGTAATCAAAGATATTAAGTGATTGGAGAACGTTGCAAACAGATAAGACAAACGACTGCAAGGTGCCTTTCCAAGACATACACTATGGTAATTTTCTCTGCTGACATTCAAAACGGGACCTCCTGTGTGTGTTGCTAGTACCTAATAGCCAGCTCGAACGCTAAATTTGGAAATCTAAAAAGCTTGCTCCAAATACAGTTCGATCTCTACTCATGTAAAGCGCTCAATTTATTTAGTTCAGAAGACGAGTCCTTAGTTTCAGTGGCATTTTTAACTGACCTCACGAGAGGACGGGGATCTAGAGGCAGAGAATAGGCTAGACCCAAAAGGTTTTCAGCTGTATACCACCGGGTAGTTCCAAGGGTAATTTACAACCGGGTGAAAAGTGATCGCTTTCACTCTGTTGTTTTGGCACACTGTTTTCATTTCATTGGTCTTTTATTAAGCTCGTAAATCTGGTCTTGTCGACCTGTCTGGTGTACGGTCTGAAGACACCAAGCCATCGGGCCAAAATTCTCGTGGACTTTTAGGAGTTTTGCTTCGCTCTTAAAATATGGTAAGAGAGGCATTTCATGGTCCCGGTAGACGTCTATTTCTTCCTCCGATGGTTGAACTTTGAAGACGTGAGGAGCCCAAACTGCAGATTTTAGCACTAAAAGAAGGCAAGAACTGTGCCTATGCGTTCACTGCTGCATGTGTTGTGTGGCAACCGGATCTTTAACTGAAAAGAAGATTGGCTCTCAGGCCCAACTTCAATCTTGTCCCCAATTGGTGGCATGGTGCAATAACAGAGCAGTGATGTCACAAGCTGTTCAGACTTGTCAAGATGATTCATCGCGTGAGTTCGTCAACCAGGCCGGCTTGCAGCAAGTTTACAACAAGTTAATCGTCATATCCTTAAACCATAGTATGGTTATTATAAGACGTAACGGATGAGCTAGGAGGGTATCATCGGCGGGGGCAATTCGCACCTACAAGTTGTTTTATCCCATTACTTAGATCCACAAAAGAGTGAAATGGATCCGCCTCCTGTGAAAGAAGGAGACCCCCCAATCCAAACCGCCACAAAGGCATCCCGTGGGCGGCGGATTGGACAAAAGATGATGCAAGAACAGTCAATAGCTATTAGTAGTTATCACCCCTCCCCACCGGTTGATAATCCCGGGAAGATTTCGAGCAATAACAAGGGCTTGAGTGGGTTTTCCTGAATGGCTATAAAACTACCTCTTTTTAATCGTTTGGGTTGATTGGGATGGGATCTCTTATGAGTAACGGCTTGACAAGTTCAGTGCATAGTCTAAAGTCTTCAATGCACTCGACACAACTCGCCTCCTTGATTTCGATCTGAAGGGTTAGACAAGTTGTCGGTGAAATTTTTCTGAAGAACAAGGAGATGCGTGCAGTTGTTTTTAAAACTATTTATGGCGGTCATTCAGAAATTTCACGGGGGCCGGTTAGTCTGAGTGGCGCATGCATCACGCGGCGTTAGCGCGTACGGTATAAAAGATTCCTGCAGTTCGCCGGCCCCGGGGGGACAGCAAGGGAAAGTGTTGAAAATCAATTAATAGCTAGTTTGTCTTGTGTCAAGAGGGCCGGAACACCTTCGGGCCTATGTAGTCCATTTTTTTTTTTTTTTTGTGGCGGGGCAATAGAATACCTGGCGTGTGCTGTGGCGCTGCGTGAGCGGGATAGAGCGAAGCTGATCGGCAGTATGCTCGATGTTACGTTCAACCACGGAGCCGCTGCTGGTCAAGTTTGGTTTGGTTTGAGGCAAAAAAAAGCCCCCCACTGACTGTGAAGGCACCGTCTTGACTACAACTTTGTGCAGTCCCAAATTATGCCCCGTGTTTAAAAATAAATCACTGAGCCAAAGTATTCCTTTCGTTGTTACATTTTGCTTGATCCAAATTTTCAAAAGCTCGGGAAAAATACAGAAACCATCTTGAAATTTCCGTCCAAGAGACACAACGCAAAAATGCCTTACTGAAATCGGAACTAGGCTGGTGATGGCGGTTTTACATTTTATTAGTCACTGGCTGTTATACCAACACTCCATATTACGAGTTACTGCCGTTAAGCCGGAAAAAAAACTTTGCAAGGAGTTGAACATCGAACTGTCAAAGGCAATGGGTATAAAATAGAAGCCACTTGGGCGCCAAGAAAGAATGCGTTGGCCATAAAAATTGCGTCAAAATTTATCCCGTCATAAATTTGTTGCGATTGGTAATGTAAACACGGCATAACAAGCAAGAAAGGGTGTTCTTTTAGCCGAGGATATGCATGTTCTAAAACGGATTTCGAAATGAAGTCTCAATAATCGTCGACAGGAGCAGAAGTGTTTTCCTTGGTATCTTAAACCTGTGCGCGAATTCCAAAACGAGAAGGGGCAGATTTATTGTGAATTCGTCAAACTAGCAACTTGTAACTTTTCAAGATCCCGATCGTAAATTTAAGGGGGAACCTACCCACTTTATTTACAAGGGGAATCGCAGACGAGAATAAGTGATATAAACAAAAATGCCTTGCCCATGGAATACCGCAGGACTCGGACGAATCGGGCTTGAAAGTTTCTCCATGCGAGCTGTTGATTTAGCTGCCAAATACAAGCCAGGAAACCCAAATAAAATGACTGACCGAATTTATCTCACTGTGGCGAATGGCCAACTATTGGCTTGTCACATGGTCACCGTACACTGCAGCTTATTATTCCGTTTGGGTGGAACCGACGAGGGTACCAGTCCAAGCACACGAGCTCTGTTTACACAATACTGTACGTGTATTTCGTTTTTTTGATCAGACAGCTACAATCAAGTTGCATAAGGACAAGTAAATGAGTTACTATATATATAACAGTGATAAATAATTCCACTTAAACAAATCAGGGGAAAAAATACTCTAATATTCACAAGTTTCTAAGGTGTTCAAGGCTTAGGCCTAAAGTTAATTTCTTCATCTATCATTTTCCTTTCAAATTTCGTGGCTTAACTGATGGCCTTTGAAGATATTTAGAGACGATCACCGCTAAAAACAGCCGTGAAGTCCATCGCCATTTTGAAAATTGATGCCTTAACTCCTTTGGCAAAAGAGAGCAATTTGGAAGGCCCTGTTTTGTCGAATAGCTTCAAAAATACAATATGGCAGTCGTGGTGGACGATGGTGTCCATCTTTCCTGTTTTCGCAAACCATCCAGTCTGCACGCCACAAATACTCTCATAGCAGAGAATCAGACAGCATGCACATCATAAATGGGTCCGCACAGACAATTTAGGGCCATTTTACTAGCCTGCAACCTTAAGCGTCTGCCTTGCACATTACATGTCCTAGTAGGCCCAGGAATCATTATATTTGTTTACATGAACGTGAAGCACATGTACTGACGAAAGGTCCAAAATCTTTGATGTGAAGCCGTGTCGATTTTCGAATCCATATTTTTGCCATTTATAGCTTACAACGCCAAACAATGCCCGTAATAAATGGTTGCGGCATACATCAAAGATGGCGTATCCAAGAGATTTGTGGGAATGATACATATACCAACAGCCAGACCATATAGCCAGATCAGCTTTTTTGTCAGTTGGCAGTTGAGGAAAAACTGGCAATTAACTGAAAAGCTAGAAAGAGTTTTTCGTTAAATTATAAACCACAATGCAGTTACTCATACCCTCATTTGACCGACATAAATCTGCCATGCGCATTGTAGGCCTACCCACTGTAATGTTCAATAAAGCCAATATTTTATTCAAATTCGAAAAAACAAAAACCACACAATGACCAGCAAAATAAATGATCGCTGAAGAAGACCCAGTCAGTGGAAAAAAATGCTCAGCGGTGAGGTCTCTGGCCAAGAACTGGATAAATTATACGAGAAAAATTATAAGCGTGATTTACTCGCAAGTAGGGATTCGTGTGTGTCGCCTAATACTGGCGGGTCAAAGGGGACGCACAGCGGCAGCTCGACGGCGGGTGCAGATGGCCCGGGCCAATTATTTTGTCAAGAGCGTTGTACATTTGGGTTGTATACAAGTTCTTTAACATGCGTGCGTGTATAGCTGCCCGTAAATCACGTTTATTGCTCCGTGGACGAGTCACGAAAGACAGGGAGAGAGAAGGGCAGGACTTTGCCATCAAGAAAAGTAGAAGTTAGGCGTCCAGAGCGAGTTCCCCGGAAGTACTGAACATCTCAACCATCACTTAATCCTTTGATAGCAGGCAACTTTATGATCGGTTTAGCTGAGTCAAATTTACGATAACATTAAATAGTTGTCGCAAGTAACAAAGGCTTACAAAAACAGCGGCAAGGCTTTACAAAAAAATTGAAGATGAACACGATCGTTAGATCCACACAATGCACACTCGAAAAAAAAACCTGAAAAGACTCAAAATCAGCATGACATGGTTTCTCCGCCCGAAAAAGTTCAATACATTTAGAACTTTCCATCCTCTTCCTTCAACTCCGAATGACAAGTCACTGACATGTCCTCCATTCGAAAACCACGAAATCATGACTGCTCTGTTTTTTGGCCCCAAATGCCCCCAAACCTCTGATGAACAGAGGAGGCAATGGAATCTCTGTTTTCGTCTGCTTCGAAGTTGGAGATCCGCTGGACTAGCCTGTCGTTTCTAATGGCTTCAATGCTGCACGTAGTGCAGTTGCAAGTCATACCCCGTGCAAAATATTCCACGTGGTTTCCCTAGTAGTGTTTCTTCTGAACTCTTGAAATCACTTGATAGTGGAACCAGCACATTATAGTTGTCAGATTTCAAGCACTTAAAACTGTGTACACTTTTCTGTCAATGGCACAAAATGTGTACTAGTCGATCGCCATTTAAATGGGCCCATGGCACTAGTGGACTATAATTACAATGTCACCGCAAGTTAAACGCTTTCACCTGTGGGCTCGGAAATGCAGCCGCCGAGGTTAAGCCGCTCTGAGGGACCCGGGGCAGTCACGGGGCACTTGGGGACAGCCAAGTTTTGCTGGCGGATGGAGTGTAGCAAATTAACAAGTTGACAGGTACCGAAAAAAGAGTACATCTGGTCGGCCCTTTGAGATGGATTTTTTTTCACGAAGTGATAGTCACTGAGGAAAAAAACATTATTAACGAGCGATGGTTCAGATTGGTGAGGTCTTGATTTTCGGTAAGCACATTTTAAGGCTAGAGTTAGGGCTATGTTTCGATAGAACTTGTAATGGACGAAGGTGGAGTATCTCCCCAGCGGGCATCGACCCCTGCCGCTTTTTTTCCAAAGCCGGGTCACTCAGTGCGAGGAGGTTTCGAGTCTTGCAAAGACCATGCAGAAAACCCGCTTGTCTAATTATGAAATCGATTCAACATGAATGAACTTGTTTTCACCAGCCAACACATCGTTTTTGCACGAACGATAACCAAAGCCTGGCTGGGGTTCGTATATGCAATGCAGTGTCTTCAGTTTTCTTTTTTTTGGGGGGGGGGGGTAATAGGGATGTGTTGCGCGAAGGGCAGAAGATTGCTCGTCCGGAAGAATCCCTTTGGTTCGCCCCCTGTGACAAATCCGACCCGACTGCTCCCTTCTTGTGATCGGTTTAAGTTGTCTGAGGTGAAGGGGTGGGTGATTGGCGGGGTTTAATCGGCTGGTGGTGTCATTCAGTTGGCATCAGTGCAACTCACCGGAAGTTGACTGACACTTGTCAAAACGAGACGAAAAAAACCATCGTTCCTAAGCTTAAGGAGTTTTCCACTTATAAAAACCCAATAACACAATATGCTGTATATACATAATTGGCCATGTTTTTACAAACTCAAATCGCACCCCTGAAGGGAACAAATGAAAATTTAACAAATTTATATGGCGAGACCACACAACGTTACTGTAACTACGTTGTTACACTTCTGAAATTCACCTACTCCTTTACAATTTGACTAAAGCTGTGGAAAGATACGTAGAGGACAGGATCAAATCTGCAAAATGAAAACGTACAAACAAGCCTTTTTAAAAGAGTTCTGCAGCAAGTTGGCAAATCCCTATAAGCTCGTACTTTGAATTGGGATTTCCAGGTAGAATTTCAATATGAAATGAACCCTTGCGGGATCTGCTGATAAATACTCTCAGTTTCCCCTTCATTCTCACAAACATCTCCTGGGGCCAATTTAATAGAGCTGCTTAAGCACAGAATTTGCTTAAGCACGAAAAAACCTTTCTTTATAAACAAAGGTAACCAGTTAAAACTCTGTGTGATTGTCATGCTAACCAAAAGATAAGTCAGTACCATTCCAATACAATATAGGCCTACATTACAAGAAGTTTTGGCTGGTAACCTGATCTGTCAAACAAGGTGTTTCCCACGCTTAATCAGACTTTTCGCTCAAGCAGTGATATGAAATTGGCCCCTGGTTTGTTGCAGAAGTATCTTGGAAAAGGCGTTTTCTCCTCCAGTTCGCGTTGGGGTTATCAGGGGTTGAGACACAGAAGACCTTATCACGCGACGCATATTGGCCAAACATCTAAATGATGGACAAAACACCAATAAAACCGTGAATGAGCTGCCTTTCAGCCGGCCAAGCCACCGTAAAAATCCACATCCGCTCATCCGTGCCCTAACCCCCAAGTCCTTCCAGCGGGGGATGATCTCCTGTCTTCCCCCGGGTCGGTGCCCCACCGTCACCGTGCCACCACGACGTTCCAGTACGTTACAGACACCGACCGTGTGTATGTACAGACGAAGCGGGCGCGCGCGTGGAGCGGTTAAGTGGCCGTGAAGGGACGCTGAAGTACCCTTCAACTCTAGTAGCCGATGACAGGTGAAGAGAGATCGACAACCTCGTGTTTGCGCAACGATACCACATGGCTGGTTAACACGGTAGCTCAGCACTATTTGTGTGGCCAAGAACTTGTGTTATTGATCCCGATAAGCCTACTGGGCGCGTTTATTTATAATGCCCTTCCAAATCGATTCAGTGCATATCATCACTTGAGAAAAATTATATCATAAAGTGACCATACAGGGCGTGATCAGTTAAAGCTTCTAAATTTCTTGCAGGTGTTCTGAATATGGCATTTCATCTGGAAAATTATCTTAACGAACCCTTCGTGTTAACAAATCGATATAACAAAATGCCTCAAAGTGCCTAGATACCTGTTTGCAAATGATTAAGCATATACGTTCCTACATGTACGCCTATACACCTGTGCACGCGGGAAAATCCGAAATTTGGTCGAGAACAACTTCTGGAGACTCACTGACTGTTGTGCCGTTATATTGAGTCGAATTATGATTATAAACTTGTGTCTATGAAAGACCTGAATGTGGACTTTGGAAGGGGTTGCACGAAATACACCGTTCTGATCTATTTGCAATAAGAGACTGAGTATTAACACCGTGGATAAATTCACAACGGCTGAACAGCATGAAATTAACCAATTACAAAGTAGTTAGACGTGTTTCCAGCCACTGGAAGGCAGCTTTTTGGAAGGCTCTTCTTCGCATGTTCATCGTATTATATGCAGACTTTTAGCCCGACAAAACTGAAGTAAGAGCAAAGGGAAAATAAGGGGGCAAATGACTAAACGACATTTTGATTGAAGAACAGCCCCATCGCTGCCATAGATTTGATTGATCGGGAGGTTTCACCTGCACGAGGAGAATTTGTACATGTATAACCGATCTAGCGACGAGCCTGCCTAAGCTATCTACGTAAGCTGGCAATGTCGCCATCACGTCGACAAACAGAATGATGCAGAGGAAGCAAGGGTGCACCCATGAAGACGCCATGAAAAACAAAACTTCGTAATTCACGTGTACTTACCACCACTTGCCGCTGGATGCTGCCGTGGTTTCCTTAGCTAGTAGACTGGCCATAGGGAGTACGAAAAAAGCCACGAGCCATTCGAGCTTCATGATGAGCCTGTAGTAGTGGGCTATTTATACAGTCAACCTGGAATCGCTCTGCAAGCTTAGCCGTATCCCCTCGAGAATGAACAGCCTCCCGAATACTCTCCTGTTTGAAAGGCTTTTAACGACTGTCAAACTCCAAAAGGAAGTTCAAGGACTCACTCACAGAAGCTGACCAACATTTGCCGTACTGTTCTCCCGAGGTAGCGAAGTACAGTGACTGAAAAGGAATTCGGTAAAAACACTCTTCCCCCTATAAAGAAACTTCCAGTCTTTACCAATAATGAGAGGGACATAAACGCCAGCTAGACGTGCTAACAAAGGACACACTGGAAGCTGAAATCGGCCCTTGTTGAGACGTAACCGAACATCCAAGGAAAGCAAAAAGAACCAAAACAAAACAAAAGCGTGCGGTGGGTCCGCAGGTCTCGGGCAGGTTTGATGGTCTTCTCTGATGCGCTTTGATGTCTTGCCGGCTGCTTTGAAGTCTTTTAAATACCAAGCGGCAGGATCAAGACGCGCGGCCGGTAAAGTCAAAAAAGAGGGGACTTTTTTTCTTCAGAAGATGTGTGTAGACGAAGAATGGGGCCGGCTAACTCTTTGTCACGGTCGTGGTCACTTTAGCCCACAAGGTCCTCTCCACCCGGGCGGTAAACTGGTTCGGCCTCACTATACTTGACGTCTCTTCGTATTCTCTATTGCACCCCGCACGTGCCGGCGTTTGTCAGGGCCTGTCATCCCTGTACCTGTCACTTTTTTTTCGAAAGAGGTAATGAATCACCAATGTGCCACCGCGACTTCAAACTAGCTGGCAATTAAAATGAAATAATTTATCTCTTCTAATGATTTGTTGCTCGGGGGACCCCGAGTGGGAGATGGTGAAAAGCCTCTCACTCCTTCCGCCGTTTTGTTCTGCCTATGGAAATCTTCTCACCCCAGGAACCGATGCGCGCGTTGCATGCTGGGTAAGAATCGCCCAAGTGACGTTTCGCGTTCCGGCCGGCCAATGGCGAGTGTCAAGTATTTATACTGGCGACAGGTTGGATGGTGGGTGTCGGAGACCCAGTGACACACTTGTTCGGTCCAATGGGAGGCGAGCGCCCGTGGCCAGACCAGCGCAAGGTTGCATAATGACTGGCTCGCGTTTTGATGCGTTTACGATGACGTTTGACCATGTCGCTACAGGTACGTTCATTTCATCCGGTAAATAACGCAAGTGAGGGGTGACAAGCAATGGGGCTATTTGTACGGCCAGGAAGTCAAAAATGCCGGGCGGGCTGGTTTGATGTACGACCGCACTTACGCACGGTGACCGTAATGGAATACTTGCTCCCCTCAACCATTCCAAAAATACCAAAATGAATCAACATGACACACAGAACGACACACATTGAAATAAAATAATCAACATTGGCCATACCAGGCAGCTGTCAAGTTTTTTTCTTTTCTTGCTTTTTTTGCAGGCCTACATTAAACCCTGAAAATTTTATTGGACCGATGAAAGAAATAGTTTTTGGCCAACAATTCTTACAGAAAAAACACGTAATTGAAATGCCCTCTGAGCAGTAAACATTCTGATTTGAGGGATAATTTCTAGGAAAGTTGGATTTCGTTTCAAGGTTGATTCGTCGTCAAGAGAGGGCTCATTTTATTTTTAAAGCGAAGGCGCGGTCCATGGCAGTCAAACCGTTCATTCATCTTCCCGAGTAACAATTTTATGTGTATCACGAGTACAAGATTGACTTTTCCTTGTTGCTGACATGGCGCTTATATTGGCGCTTATGCCATTCGGCAAGCTTCGTTTTTTTTTCCCGATTGCCACTCGTCAAACGTCAGGTGAACCGTTTATCGCACAGCGAGCTTCGGCTTAGAACAACCTCAAGCACGCTCATTCAAGCCTGTGCATTTCAATCGTGAAATTCGATTGCGCAAATTTATTGAAACATTTGAATGATGTATGTAATCATGTTACAGATAGGCCCTACATGTATTATTGCACCAGCGAACCATCTGTCTGGGAAAAAAAGGTGCACAGGCGTGGTGCAACAACAGGAGCACCATGTACTGTATTTGCACGCTAGGTTGAAAAATAGGATCAGGATCCTAGACCCTCTCAGACCTATCTCTATACCTCCTTCACACGGCTGAAGTTGTATGACTGTTGGAACCTTTACTTCGTACTGCCGGTCATGCTTCGATCGAGCCACGCTAACTCTGGGCTCATGAAAGCTTACAGCCACTTGTCATACCTTCAACCGTTAATCTGTTTGCTCCGCTAAACACCTCTGTTCGTTTGTCAGGTCGTTGAGACATGCCTTCGACCAAAGGGGGCACAATTGTCTTATCGGCGGATTATCGCCTACTTGAGCCGATTGTAAAGTCGAAGCTGCTGCTGTTCCCACCTCATTTAAAACTGGGGGGGGCAGTAAGAGAAGTGATGCGTTTTGAATTGTTATGATCTACTTCGTTCGATGCAATATTCTCGTTATTGGTGTACCAAGTGAAGTTTCACTAAGTGCATAAAATCCCCAAAGGGATTTGTTATAATTTTGTACAACATGAGAAGGATTAGTGCTGTGCTACATGCCGAGTACTTGTGCACGTCTGCTCCTCTAAATCAGTGGATGGAATTCTGCTAAAAAGGGGAATTTTCCTTGACACAGTCAGACCATCGCTCTAGGGTCTCGCTGCCTGGTTTGGTTCCATATTGCGACCTACGGTACGATAGATGTACTGGGATAGCTTTGTTTGGCCTCCCTGTCTCCGTTGCAAGAGCGTGTCTATTACAATAACGACCATCGTCAACACTGTCCGCTCTGTTGTGCATGCAGTCAGGTAACTTTGCAATTTGTGAACCTATTATCTTTGTCTTATTGAAAATACCATCTTTAAAATTACGGTAATTTTCACTATATGAGGGTAGGCCTACTTGTGCTTCTTAAACTTTTTTCCCCATTTTCAGTTTTTTTTATATGCCGGTGAAATATATGCCTTATTAAATATGCATTATTTTGAAGGCCCTTGTGTTAAGAATTGAACTGCTGGTATTAAGTGTCTATAGCCATACAAACGTGAGTTCTTAGTCTTCCTCCAAGCCTGGTTTGTTTAAAGTATGAAGTTGATAGTGAAATCTTCATTAATAATAATGCTTTCTCAGCCATGCCCAAGGGTTGGGGTAACTCTGTAACTACTGTTGTCCTTACGACATCTACGTCACCGGCACAATATTGAACATAGGCCTAATGTTGCTTTCAAGAAGCAAAAATAATACACTCGATAAAAACCACAACATACAAGACAAGAAGACATCCGGCTTAGTTGAAAACTCTACAAAAGTTGTATTACAAACAGTTTTGTTTTCAGCTTTAGACACTTAATTTCATTATTTCATCAGGCCTTGAACTCGCTTTTCACTTAGCTGTGTACGCGACAGGGTGGGATTGTGAATGGGCGGCCTGCCTCTCCCAGGCCCTGGGCGCGAGCCAAAAGACAGCGTCTGAGAGCAGTTTTTGCCAGGTGCAGGTTCTCATCATCTACTCAGACCGCCCCGGAGTGAGGCACTACCACTTCCGGCATCATGGTCCCCGTGAATTCAATACAGGGGGATCCGGATGTAAAGATTCATTCCTTTCTTGTACTTTCGTGGGGTGGATGGAATTCACCCTTTGTGATCGGTGATGCATCATAAGGAGTTGCCACTTTTCTTTGTGAACGGACCCAGATTGATAAAAGTGGGAAAAGGGGTCAGAGAGAGACTGTTTACCCTGACATCCACTACCAGGAAAAGACGTGGGCAGGAACGCGAAGAAATAGAGGCCACTGGCGTTCGCTGGAGGAGAACTATTACATGCACTGTTTGAGGACATCCCATAATGATGCATATGCTGAAAGATCATTTCTTTTTAGGCTGCAGGCGTTTCAATCAAACATGCATTGTACATTTTGTATATACAGAGTTGATGGATGTTGGAGATCACGGTTTGGGTAACAGGTGTTTTTCAATGTTAACTACTTTGAGTGCCTACTGAGTCTACATTTTTGAGCAATAACACACAGGATTCACCACATATGCCGCCTCCTTTTGCCTGATGTATTATTTTCGACTCAAAATCCCATGGCCTACTTTGTTCAAAAATGTTCTGGAGGGCATTGGCCCACCCCAGCGTCATGTACAGGCGGTACGAGCGAAGGCTTCAAGTTGCTGTGCGGTATATAGCGCCCTCAGTGGTTTGACTAGTACGTGTGACTGAAGGTAACGTTGAGGGTGTTTTCGTTATTATTTAGCAAAATATCAGCAATTTTCAATGGAAATTTCCCCATCCCAGTCCCCATCAATGCAAGAATTACCGGGCTCTTTGCCTCACGACAGGAAATGTGAGTGCACACAACCACTGTCACGTGATTAGAGGGACTGTTTGCATTTGAGCGTGCATGTTGGACCAACTGTCCTTGGATGTCGCTACACTTTCACTTTGTTAGGATACCGATCAAGTTACCTTGAGCCATCAATAGTGGCTAGTTACTAGTCACCTAGTCTTTGGCATGATGTTATCTTTTCGTGCTTCGTCACTGCCCATTCACGGTCAGTTATGAACTGACATTTGGTGTGTCCTGCCGTCCATTTCAAGTATCAGCAAGTCGATAAGTAGGTTAATCACAAGTCGCAAGTCAAGTCATAAGCTATATTACGATGAACTCTAATCGAAAGCATCCCTAAACACCGTCTTATACTGGTCTTGCGACAAGAGCTTATCAGACCCGAGGACTACAGCTCTGCTGACTTGTGATGTGGTTATGGAGTTGTCATTCACAGACACTGAAGTACACTTAAATAATGATAAATGCCATGACAATGAATGGCAGCGTCAGCCTCAACTACAAGGAGGGGAATGTCGTTTTGGGAAGGGGCGGGAACATCGGCAGCGCAGTCGTCGGGTGGACAGAGTTTACGGTCTAGGACAGTTGACGCCGCGACAGAACTGTGTCCATAGAATCAAATCTGCTTATTGTATTTCAGTTGTAGCTCTGATTCTGGCAAAGAATGAATCATAAACCTTTACGTGCAAAGTGTATGTGTGGGGGTGTGTTGGGGGGGGGACACTGGCATGAAAGATAAGACTTTTGGGGACAAACACCCCCATGACCCTTGTCAATAGCCCCAACTACACTGAGCTGCTTTACTTCAGATTTTCTTTATTAGTGTGTAAGACTTTAATTTTCAACTTGAAGTTCTCGTTGGCATGTGTTGGAAGAATGTAATTTGAATGCCACTGCACATACAACTGAATGGCAAGTCTGGCGTCTGAATGATTGCCCCACACATGTTGCATTTAAGCTCCTTGGTATTTCTTTTGTTTAGTTTCCCTTGTGAAGTAGAGTGTATATACGGCTTAGAATGCCAGGATTCACTAGAGCGCCACATTGACATGGTGGGGAGTGCTTGACCAGCTCGAGTACAGTGACGTAGATATGATGCTAGCCGAGACAGCGCTGAAGGACAAGGCTTTTCCCAAAGACTACCTCAAGTTACCGGCTTATTAAGCACACTGTCAAGCACACCCACCATTATGTGTCAATGTACATGTATATAGCTAAACTCTGTGCTACTTCTTCCTCAAATTGGCCCAGACCAAGGCTCTACAGTCCGGCCATCTGTAAGTTATTTTAACCAATCTGGACTGCATGTATTTCCATTGCTTGGCTTTATTTTGTTCATTTAGTTTTGTTTGATTTTGTTTAAATTGCATGTAAAAGATTTCTTTTGCTTTTGGCAGATTGCAAAAGCCCATTCCTTTTTTTGAAATTTTTCTCCAAGTTCTTTGAGTTGAGTGTTGCTTTCAATGTGTTGGGAACCCTTGTTAAATTGAAGTCATTGGAATAGACATTCATTTTTTAATCTTTTTAATGATCACTTAAAACGCTATCAAACTGTTCCTTTGTTATCTTTGTTGGGTTTGTGTGAAATTTTTGATCACCGTCATTTTCAAAAATAAAATCACATTCCGTTTGTGACAACCCTCCCCCCCGCGCTACATTGCAGGGATCGTAAACACAGTGACCTTTGTAAGTATCTCACAATGATATCTATTTCAAGCCCATTATTCCCTTATCACAACTCTGCAAACATTTCTCAAAACATAAATCAGGAGACACGGGAACACTAGAGTGTCCACTTTACACATTTCATTGAGGGCGCTATACAATATTCCTGACCAGAGCTGCACAGAGGGTTGCGACATAAGTGTGTCAGTTGTTGGGAGACAGAATGGTTGATTATGCGCGCCAGTCCAAATAGACAATTAGCACACAATAGCTGCATGCTGTTTATAATAGCCAGCCATTTTGGTTCCCAAGTCTGAAGTTGGTACTACTCTCTCTATATACAGCTCTGTTCATGCCTCATCCATGCTTGTACGTTTCCCCCACGGTTACATTCCTGTACTGGGCGAACACCGTTCAAGGGCGAGGCCAAATTTATTTCAGATGAAATTTCACTATTGTGACAAATATCCGTCCAGTTCGCATGTAAAGTGAAGTATTTTCCCAGAAAATAAGTATGTATGCAACCTGTCGTTTTGTCAGAGAAGATGTGTTCTTTCCAAGGTTCCTGAATAGAATATCGTCTACATCTTGTCTCCGTAATTACAAAGCCCGACTTCGTGGATTATCATTCAAGGTATAAAATCTAGAAGTAAAATAACAAACTTGAATTCTGTCACTGTCTCAACATCGCAGTGACCGTTGTTTCAGAGAGAGTGGAAGATTCACTCAGCTATGAAAAAAATCAGAGTCCATACATAAAATAAATTAAGAAATACATGTACATGAGCAGGGGTTTTAATTTTTTAAAAACTCCGCCAATTAAGTCCAGATGTATCACATAAGTGGGGGGTTTTCCAGAAGGTCAGATCATACTGTCGTCGCTTTCATAACCATCCAAATCGGCTTCGTCCTCCTTACATTTGATAATGAATGTCATCACAATGAATATGTACACAAGCAGAATCCCAAAGACAGAGATAAAAATAAACAGGACATCATTCTTGCCGAATTTGTCGTGGTGGTATGCGTCAGCGACCATGTGCCAAATCTGGATCAACCTCTCGTCCACTTTCTCTTTTTGATGGCGAATGATCACGGCTATACTGCGTTTCAACGTCCACTTTAGCGCGTGGCTTTCGTACGTCCGGGGGTATCTTTCGTAGCCTTTGCCCTGGACTGGGGTGACTCCGATGCGCTTCATGACCAGGCCGACGAAGACGTCGTCCCAAGGTAGGTAACGCACGTGGACGGACTCCCGGTAGATGCTGACTGCCACGTCCCCGGACATGACATAGCAGGAGCCAGGGAAGAAAGGCGCATAGGTGGCCTCTGGGTACACCTCCTTCGGTGTGTACCACTTCTTAGAGGGGCCTTCCGAGTCACGGACCGGGGTGGCCTTAGTCCGGAGGCTCCCTTCTGCGTACTGCCTGCGGGGATTCCCCTCTAGCCGTGTCACCAGGTTGTGCACGTTGAGCATCACGTCCGCGTCCACGCTCGCTACGTAGGTAGCACTGGGGCAGAACATGGTGATCCATTTCAGGCCCATCATATTCTTAATTGTCAGGTTCCGGTAAGAGTCCACAAAGTCCTCCTGGATGATATCACTGTACTCGTGATTCTCCCGTTGGACTGACGCTGTGGTATTTCTGTTGGTGGTGGTCCCCAGTAGGAACATAGTGATGGTCCGCCTGTCCTTCACCACGGTGTCCCCGCCCCACGTCCGCCGGATCTGCTGTCTGTCGAAGACGTCACCCACGCCGCTCTTGACCAGCATGACCAGGAAGACAGAGGAGTTGTCTACCGGGGCGCAGGCGTCCTCGTTGGCGATCAGAAAGCTGAAGCTGTGTGGGTTAATCTCCTTCTGGCTGTAAAGGGGTGGGTATGAGATGGCTGCCTGGGTTGCTTTCGGCGTGACCTTCCGCCTGCCGGTCAACGACTTGTCACTGTTCATGTCATGAATCTCCTGTGTGCCTTTATCCTGACGGAGCGACGGCCACGTCATGATCTTGAACCAGCTTGTACAGTATAGCGCGGTGAGCAATGCAAGTACAAGCACCAGCCGTCGTCTAGTCAACATTACGGCTGTAACCTCTCTCCGTTCAATTAACGCAGCTCCGATGCCACTACGCTATAAAATAATTTACCACCATCGTTGCTATTTTCACGCATAGGGCCCAGGGGCACGGTTCACCTCTGCTCGCAATCTGCTTTTATTTGGTGGTCACATTTGCCAGCTCATAAATGGATACGCATGTTCTCATAAAACTTCCGGTCATGTCAGACGAGGAGGAGTTTCGTGAGTAACATACCGACCCGATGTACGGCTTTGGGGATCTCCGCCGAGCTGTCTGTCGGAATCATGCCGCCATTCTGCTCGAAGGTTTGCCACCGGGTCGGTGCGACGTGTGCGTTAGATTCAGTCGCTGCATAGACAATCTCGAGTCAGCTGACAACAAAGGAAACAAGTCGACAGATCATAAATCCATGGCAACCAAAGGATCAACCCATCGTTCATCAATGTAGTGTTCAGTTTTTACCCATTCTGCACTGCATACGGTCCCTGAGTAAACGGTTGATATTCACGCTGAGCCTTTCTGTGTTCCTGCCCGTCGACGCATGTAATGAGCACACCACCACACAGATCAATGCAGTCGATGATTAACATAGGCTCCCACTCAATTTGCACGTCCAATGCTGGCAGGTTGGACCTTGGCCCATGAACTGAACGTAAACATGTTATCTGTCAGAATCACGATATTTTATTAGATCGCGGGCCAGTGTACGTATGGGAAAGACACTTGGCTCTGGTCGCCCTATGATTAGTTTGCAACAAAAGCAAAACTGCATGTGCAGCAATATTTCAGTGCCTCTGACCCATGATGGAAATTTGACACTTGGATTTCGTAGTTGTGTGGACATGGAATATGTTTGAATAAAAAGGGTTGGTTTCAGTGGGATTACGAGGGATAGGATCCATACTTTAGAAAGGTTGTATATTGATAAAGCAAATACTCATCGGAAAAAATGTTAATTGTACAGTTATTAACATGAGTGGTACGTAGAGATTTTACTGAGTCATCGGGGTTTTTTTCACAGCACTATTTGTATTCGACTGCCAGCTTCGTTAAAAATCCACTTCAGAAAAAGGTGACAAATTAGCATAAATGCCGTGGGCTCGATAGTATACAGTTATTCAATTAATCTCTCGGTTCTGCTGAAAATAAGCAAATTTCAAACACCTCTGTTTTATTTTTCTCTGATTCCCATGTTAGAAATTGGGGGGTTAGCCTAAAAATTAAGAAAGTGCACGACGGGATATTGAAGGAACGTGCAAGCACTTGTCCTTGTTCTATTCCCAGGAACGGTCTTAGTGTAATAAAATCATGTACATATGTATATGTGGTTTTTTTTTTTTGTTTCTTTTGTTTTTTGTTTTATTTTGGTTTTTTTAAAACTATTTATATGTATGTAATGTCTGGCAACCATTGTAAATATTAACTTCTCTGTAAACCAAATATTTTTGGTCCTTGGACTTTTTCTTTGGACACCATCTTCTTTTTAACAATAAAACCGAAATGAATGAATGTAATAATTGGTTTGAAAAGTTTTTTGGGTTTTTTATACCGAAGATGATCGGCCTTATTCGTAATCCGAAATCCAATCAATTCCGGCTTTGTTTGTCTGTCATCAGTGGTAAACTGTTCGTGCCATGGGTAAATTTTGTGCTGAACAGTTTCCGTTTACGTTCCTACATACGCCTGTTAATCAAACCCCATGCTCCAGTTGACACTTTTTTATGAATTTGTCTGGTAATGCTTTCGGCTAGGCATTGCAGCTATCCAGTATCTTATGTTTTATTCACAAACTAAGTGAGGCCTGGGTCTGTCTTGCAAATTATTTTCGATTGTATTAGGTGAACAAGGCAGGTGAAATAGTATGAAAGTGTTTTTTATAAGCCTTTAGATTTAGGTTGTTTTGACATTATTTAGTCCTGCCAAAGAAACACTGAGATTGGAAAAAAGGCTATTTCACCTCCCAAACTTCGTCGATATCTACGTTGAAGTTTTAAAAGTGTCACGCAATTTGTTTATTTTTCAATGGAGTTGGTAATTTGCGAAATGGGCTTCTTGCTCCTATTATCTAGTTTCGACTTTGGTTGGCTTCTGATCGGAGTCAGCACTTTCTGTGAGTCGAATTATTGTATCTAGCCACGATGGCCGTCGGATTGGATTGAACCAAGGCTATATCCGACTCAGGTTTTTGCCCGACCCAATGCACATCTTTAATTTGTGTGGCATAATCAGAGAGGCAAGTTTTAATTTGTGCTTGTATATGGTTTATGAGGGCTGTTGGGGGTGGTAATTATGGAAAACAGTGCATTTTGGAGGGACTAACTCCTAAAATTGTCAGGGAAAATCGTCGCATTCGAGGTAAGTTATTGCAGTTCAATACCATGATGCTGTTCAGTCAAAAGTCAGAAATTTGATTTTTTTTTTAATTGAAAGTACTACTCAATATTTGAGAGACTAAATGCCACCCAGGCTGTCAGTGAAAGTTTCTTTGCACTCATTCCTTTATACGCTGTCTTCCGAGTTCGACGCACAACTCTGTATATAGAATTGACCCCAGTTATAATAAGACGGGGAGCTTCAAACAGCGATGTCTTTAGTATGCCCACTGATCGTCCAAAAGACTCTATGAAAAGACAGTGTGCTTTATGACGTGGGGAAAAGCCTCCACTGGTCCGCCTCAATGTGGCTCCCAACCTCATCCATATTATAGCTTTATTTGTATTCCTGTTTTCAGAAATAACATATCGTCACCGTAATGGCACATTGTGTATAGGGCTGAGCCAGGGCCGGCACATTCGGAATCTTTAATTAAGGCCAACACGGTTCAATTGTTAGCGCCAATTAAGGAAGCTTGATAGCATCAGCAATTCGGCTTACAGCGCACAAAACTGCACCTGGGAGCCTCAATTAGGCGAGATCGTGTCTGCCGCGAAACCTCGCGAGGGTTGATCGCGCCCACGAGGTTTGTAGATTCTGGCAAATTCTTCACCTCTCCGTTTCTGTTTTTTGCTCTGAGTTTGACATGAATGAAATTCAAAACTTCTAAAAAGCCTGTAATATTAAAGTATACACAACAAAGCAGAGTACAACCAGGTCCTGAACGAGAAAAAAAGGGGTTTGATTCCTTTTAAAAAGATACAAAAATAAAGTGTAACAATAATTATGAAAATTATAAAGGTGAGCATCACCTTTGTTTCTTTTACGGCAAGGAGAAGTCTTGCAGTAGTCTGTTTAGTTTTTCCAGAGCTCCTCAGACCTTACATATCGTGCCAGTGAGTCTCAATAATGCCGTGTAGTTGCATAATTTTGGATGGAGCCCGTCAGCTTGGAATGGCTTCGCTTCAGCAGTTTTACATCATCTATGGCAACCAATATGGTGGAGTGACGTCAGACATTACTACGTCATAACACGGAGATTATAGGCTCAAGATCGGTCATAGGAGTTCCTTCGCACACAGAGTTAAACCTATTACCGAACAAAGCAAGATAAAACATGCAACAGAGTTGGGTTAATACTCATTACTGAAATTAGTTGCTTTAGAGTGAGCCTTAGGACGAAATAATGACCAAAACATTTTAAAACAATATTCTGGGATGGAAGTTCTTTGACAGCAACCTGATTTTAGACTTTTGCCGATTATTTCAGATCAAATGTTGGCACTAGATTCGTGAAACTTTTTCTTGTATCTCAAATTCAGGGGAAAATATCAGTGTCACCTGCATCCCTGCACTTTCGATGGATTAGTCATGGCCTTTGTAAGGGGGATTGTGGTTGCTTTGGCTGGCTTTGGGCATTTCCATCTCACCAATGTTAGTTTTTAATTTTTACCGTGCCGGAAAAAATCTCCAATTTCCTGTCCTAAAGACCGGTTCATACTACAGGCGAATATGAAAGCGAAGCGAATTTTGACCCTGTGAAAGAATTGCAGCAAACGTGCGCTCGAGTTGACAGGTGTTCACATTTTGCGAATTCGCAGTGCGAAAGTTTGATCTGGCGTCCTATAAATTTGTGAATGTTGTCAATTAAGCATTCGGTTGTCTGCATGTGCTGGTTAAATAACTCAGTCGCCCCACCCCTTGAAAATGTCTCGACTGATCTGCCGCTGCTATGGTGAGGTCGTCCTTTAGGAAGACCGAACTGAGCTTTCGCTTTAATGTATCGCTCAGTTGAGACATGGACGTGATGCTGATGACGCTATCCCATGTAGTTTCACTGTGAAAGATTTATCAAGAGGCCTATGTGAGATCTGAAGACTTGTGACTCATGTACTTCAGTTGAACCAGAGTTTCAGTCGGTACAATTATATAGGAACAAGGATTTCCTTTTCAGTGAATGGCTCGTTAAATGTGATGCTTAATATTTCTGTGACTACAGAGCGTACACGTCTGTTTGGTTGTTTTTCTAAGCAAATAATGTTATTTATTGTTGTGTGTTGTGAGTAATCTTCAAGAAAAACGCGATTCTGTACTAAAACCTCAGTAGAGAGTATCATGCTTACTCGACTAGTATTAAATCAGGCTGTAAAAAATGATCTTTTATTTTAATATTTCCAACACAGCGTAACATCAAACGCGACAAGAGACCCTGCAAATATGTTCTGAAGTAATATGTTTTTGCGTAACCTGTAAGAAATAATCGTGTTCACGTTTATGCCCTCGTCGATAGTGTAGCAACATGTAAACCATTAGCTTGGCGATTTGGCATCCCGGACAGGGCTCGGCGGAAGTCGCCATTATTCCTTCGCTGGACTGGAAGTTTTTGTTTTGATTGAAAAAAAAAGCAAAAACAAAACAAAACAAAACAAAACAAAAAAAAAAAACGAAAACTGTGCAAACTCTTACATGTCATACCAAGAACGCACATCCAAACTTGCTGTACTGCCTATTGTCACGCTACATGCCTTTTCTTAACATTTCTGCAAGTTTTATGTACCAATGCTCGACAGTGAACCCCTTGTTACTCTGTATTTGTTTCAGCGTGTATTTTTTTCGTTCACTCCGGCATGGCAAAAGGAAGATTGAGTACGTCCAATGTAGCTAAAGGCGTGCCTGGTCATACCGTCAAATACCAAAATGTGAAATAAGCCGCCATATACGCGCCAACACACACAGCCAGACACGCTAGGGCAATTAAATTAACAGTGGACAGTTTCATCGCCTCTCTTGTAGGGTGTAACATCTGTCTACGTGGGACATACTTTTGCATGGCTTTCTGGTACACCAGGATCAGTCGGTTGTCAACGCTCTTGGCGTGATGCTTCGCGATGATCGCTATGCTCTTTTGGAGGGCCAGTCTGATCAGCGTGCGGCGGGACAGCGGGACGTAAACCTGGTAGCCCTTCCCGTCACGCGGTACGATGTCCGCCCACCTCATGACCAGCCCAACGAACACATCGTCCCACGGGAGGAACCGCACGTGGACCGACTCCTGGAAGATCGTGGTGGCCACGTCGCAGGACATGACGTAACATCCCCCTGGGAAGAAGGGCGGGTAGGTCGGCTCTGGGTACAGCTCCACTGGGGTGTACCACTTCTTGTAAAGCCCTTCAGCGTCGCGGTACGGCGTCCAGTTCGTCTTGAGGCTCCCCTCGGCGAAACTGTACCGTGGTCTGTCGGCCAACCGCTGTAGGAGGTTGTGGAGATTCAAAATGATGTCCGAGTCCACGCTGGCCACGAACGAGGCGAACGGGCAGAAAGCAGCCACCCACCGGAAGCCCATCATGGTCTTGTAAGTTAGGTTGGTGTAGGCGTCTATGAAGTTCTCTTGGATTATATCGTTGAAGCGAATGCTTTCGTGAAAAACACCGTTCCTGACTGTTTCGTTAGCGGTCTGGCCCAACAGGAACATTGTCAGGGTCAACTGGTTAGAAATGTTCTGTACCCTGCCCCAGGTCAGTCGTATTTGTTGTCGGTCAAATATATCCTCCGGTCTGGATTTGACGAGTATCAGCAAGCGTAGGGGCATCGACCACTCCTTAATAGCGTTCGTGCATGCCTCGTGGTTAGTTATCGTAAAGTGGAAGGGGTGCGGGTTAATGATACGATTGCTGTACATGGGTCGATCTTGGCTTTCCGACTCCCTGGAATTATTACTGCTACTGCTGAGAGTTCCAACTTCAAATGAGAGTCTGTCGCGATTCGCCACGTAATCGACCTTACTGGGGTGCTTGACAGGGGCATGCACGACGCTTCTGTCGTCCTGAAAGTCCGGGCCAACCGTGAATCTCTGATCGGCCAAGTACACCGCGGTATCGTTATCGTTTCTCCAGGCGGTCAGTAGCACCCAACTGATGAAGTACACAATGATAGCACACCTAAGGAGAAGTTTAGTGTTTCTCCGGCTGATCATCCTGGCGCAAGACGGATCCTGCGTGAGGGTTTAACATCAACGGTTGTATGGGCCTACTTCACCGAGATTCATAAACAAAGATGGCGGCCTTTCACTTCCCACTCTTCCTACGATATTGAGAAGGCTCTTATGCCTCGAAAGTTTGCCTGCGTCCCCTGAGTGCGATCGACGTGACGTAAACGTAAGCTCCCTCACAAAACACACACGTCGTGGTACCAATCATTCAGTTAAAAACGACGCCACCCGTGGAAAAATCGTACACAATGTTTCAGTCATTGCCAATGTCTGGAAGAAAACCTAGAGATGGCCGAACAGCTAGTTTCGTCATGAATGCCTTGTGACTCATGGCTGCGTTCTTAATCAGCTGACTTCCTCCTATGAACCATGTCTCATTCCTCAACTCCTGCCAGCTCCTGCATGGGAAAAGGGTGCCAGACGTGAACTTGGAACCCCCTAAGTCACACACAGGTCTGCTGTGCAGGCACATGTACATGGGGGTCGCGGCTCGCAACTTGCAATAGAGTCCAATGCAGGTCAACATGTGCGTGAAGGTATACGGACTTTAAGCTGCAAGCAATAAATAATTTCTGTTTGTATTAGGGCAGGCAACAAGCGCTTGTAAAAACAGACTCAATAAAATAACACACTCGGACAGAGCATTAATCTTGGGCATGTTACAAGGGACGATTCTGAATTTACTCAAGCCACCCAGAAGTATGGGGTTCTGAGTGAAACGTATTTTCATAAGAATCATCAACGTTAAACAATGGAGATAACACTTCTGGCCAGCCAGCCCCCGCCCCCGTTTCTGTATCTCCAGCCAGCGCTGTTGCTCCAAATGAAATTACATGTATCCTACAACTGAAAGGCGAACATAACGTAGGGAACCCATCTCTGCTCGACTCAAACTTTGATTCTTGCTATGGCACTGCTCTAGGCCTACATATTTGAGGTTCTTCATCACTTGGTAGAAATGGTAGAATGGGAGAGTTTCATCCCCCTAATAAATTTCAATCGCACCAATAGTAAGTTACACTTACCAACGAGCTCTTTTAAAACCTGGATTTGGGATGGAATCGGCGTTTCTGGGATAGAGTCTACCGTGGAAGGACTGCTGTGATACGGAGCTTATCACCACTTCTAATGGAATAACAATATAAATTTATGAAGATCGTTTAATCATGTGACTACTGAATTGTAAAAAGAGAGCAAAAACAGCTGACAGGTGTGCGTATGGTGGAGGCTACTACGGGTGCGCGTAAAAGTAGTGACGGGGGGAGGGTCAGTAATTTTAAAAGTGTGTGTGTGGGGGGGGGGGTGATGTGGATGGGGTATATCCCCTATCCCCCCGGGATCTCCGCTCATGTGTGTAGCTGCAGCGATTAAGACGATTTTCTTGAACCGTGTACGGATTCTGTTTAAATGACAGAATCTAGCAATAATATATTAAGGAGAACTCGCAGAAATGCTTGTGCGATGGACACATTGCATTCAAGCTTGAAAAAGTGAGAAACCCATTTGGCTCTCAAGGTTCTATCATCAGTTGTCTATCAATCGCATCAGTCAATCCTAATCAGTCGTCAATTCTACCTTGTATCTTCCATCATTTCCCTTGAAAACTCGCGTGTGATATCGTGACGCCGGCAATTGCAAAGTTGGTGGTGCAGGATACAGGTGTGAGTCGGTGACTTGAAAAGTGGGGGATGATTATGTTGGTAACCCCCTCCCCTCAAAAAAGTAGGGAATGTATCCCCCATCCCTCCGGGATCTCCGCCCATGCTTCAGATGATGCGATGATATCCAGCTAAAATTCTTAGCCAGCACGGTCTTTCAAATTGACCGCTTATAAAGCGTAGCAACTATTGAGGGCGCCATGTAAGTGAGCAAACGGCACTCGTGAAGATTTTTTTGTTAGCATTGTGACGTGTTTGTGTGGGACGCCGCGCCAGCCACGCTTTGCCAGCTAGTGAAAAGAAAATATTTATGCCGTGTAGTAGAATGAGGAAAAGTCGGCAGTATGCAGTCCCAAATCGTGGAGGGGTTGTAAGTAAACAGAAAACAAAACAGACCGAATGTTGCCATAGTTAGTATCTAAACTGTTCTATAGTCCATACCAACCATTTAACATGGCTAGTTAAATGTTAATAACCCACAGAACTGTCGGTTTCGTTGTACATGTACATGCGGCTCTATTGTGGACGACTGGACGACCATAGGCCTGGAGGACCGACGAAGCCCATCTCTGCAGGTAAATTATTCACCCCGTTCCCCTGCAACTTACTACTCGCCAACATCATTTCCCCACAATGCATGGAATTGCAATAAGATTGTATACATGTATACAATGTACATGTATGAATAACACAAACACAAGGTCTATGTCAGTTTCCTGTTTCTGTAGGCCAAAGTATACCAGCATAAATTATGTAATGTATTACTTGACATGCATTTAAGAATAACCATAGAGCAATCGTGACTGAGATCATGTCTGTCCTATTATGCAATGAATCGCAGGCATGCCATATGTAGGCCCTGATACTGATTGGGGGAATTGAAGGAATTTCCATGCTCCATGCACTGTTCGTTGGGCGAACCCAACCATAGACCCCACAACGCAGGGTCAACGCATTATCCAGCTGCACTCCAGCATGACGCCGACAATTTATTATGCAAATCCCAATCTGTATTCTGCGCTAAACGGGTGTTCTCACGGGCGCCATTGCGTTTTGATTTGCTCTGTTTCAGTTGGCCCAAGAGTGGTTCAAATTACGATTTGGACAGTCGGTGTGTATCGTGTTGATGATGACACCGTGACCTCGTAAGTCTGTGTGAATGGCTCCAGGCAGGATAGGCAACGGCGGATAGGCAAGTCGCCATACATGCCATACGTGTGCCGGGCGTGTTCATGTAGTGTTGGTGAATCTCGTTTGGCAGCTTTCGTACGTATTATGATGCTCGTTCTCCTGTGTGCTCCGCGCGTGGATTTTGTAAATCGCATGCGGTAGTGGGACACTGAGAGGACGACACTCACAATGGGAGGAAGGAAACGACGAAAACAACTCAGGCAGAGACTGGCCTGCGTGATCTTTATAATTGCTGTAGGGTGTTGCATGTATGTAATTTCTACTCGATCTGAGCGGGGTAGTTTTGAATCTGTGGAGGTCGAGGAATGGCCTACTGAGAGTGGTCACCACCTCCATCAGCAACAGTCATTGTTTAGCGATGATATCATCAATCCTCATCCCTACCATTTCACCATATCCAACCCGACTCACTGCCACGACATGAACACATCGGAGGATGGCCAGCCCTACCTACTGATCCTCGTCAAAGCCGCGCCTGGGGATTTCTACGATCGCCAGCAGATCCGCCAGACGTGGGGTGGCACAAGGATAGTGGGCCAACAACTCACTAGCACCCTGTTTCTTCTCGGGTTGAGCCGGGACGAGGAGGTGAACGAACGGATCCGTGAGGAAAGTATTCTTTATGAAGACATCGTTCAGGAAAATTTCATAGACGCATACTTGAATCTGACGATCAAGAACATCATGGGTATGAAGTGGGTGGCAACCTTCTGCCCCAACGCTTCCTACGTGGCCAGCGCTGACGCGGACGTCATGCTGAACACCTTCAATTGGGTCAGGCGGTTGCTGGTCAAACCTCGCCGCCGCTACGCCGAGGGTAGCTTGCGGCGAAACACGATGCCAGTCCGGAGGCCGGACAAGCACAACGCCAAGTGGCTGACATCGAGGGAGTTGTACCCAGAGGCTACCTATGCGCCATTTTTTCCTGGGTCCTGCTTCGTCTTGTCCCGGGACGTAGCGGCCGACATCTACAATCAGTCGCAGCACGTGCGGTTCCTGCCCTGGGACGATGTCTTCGTTGGGCTGGTCATGAAGCGCATTGGAATCAAACCTCGGCACGCCAAAGGGTACGAGCAGTACGTCCGTTTGAGCAGTAGCAAGGCCATAACCAGGGCCTTAAGGCGCGGCATAGCTGTTCTCATTAGACACCAAGTAGACAGTGTAGATGAACATTTATTGGCATTGTGGAAATCGGCCGTGACATTGTCACAAAGACAAGAGGAGCCACATTCGGCCTCCCCTCCACAAACCGCCGTCTTCGCAGTTGCAATCATCTTGTTTTTCTTTCTGTTTTATAGTGTAGGGGTAGCCTTAATGCTGGTCTGATGATACACTGCTTTCCGCCTCGAGTAAAAGTGCCCCCTCGTCGGTTGAAAAGAGCCGCGTTGGTCAAGATTAAGAGTGTTCAATTTGTTGGTAGCGATGCAGGCGTGACGCGTGCATTTCCGAGTCCTTCGTGAACCAGCGAAGTTCAGTTTCGCCCGAAGGAGCCTCCGTTGCTGAGAGAATAACGCCCTTGGTCCAACTGACTGATTAATTGAATTTGGCCCTCTCAGTACTGTGTATTGAGGGTTCGTAAAATGTGTTAATTTCAATTCGATCATTGTAAGTTAGTTAACAGTGTTTTTATGTACATGTATGTATTTTTATTTATTCCTATATTTATCCGAGGTAACCTAAACAGCAAAAGCTAGTTTTCATTAGTACCCAGCATGAAACAAAGTTAAACTAATAAAAAGAGCTAAAAGCATACTCCCTACTAAAGTTTAAGGAAAACACGTTAAACAAGAATGTATAAAAATGACTTAGAAACACAAAATGCAAACAGTATTAGTAAAAACGAACCCATGTGGCAAATGGAAGTAAGCTCTAAAAATGGAGGTATCAAAATGATATATTTTTTGACATCGCTATTCGGTTAGTCTGTCTGAAACTTGCAACTTGCAAGCATTTAAAGCTTTCCATGTTTTCCTGGTGAATGATTCCACTGTGTCTGTCAAAATGGAAAGGAAGAGGCTGTTTATTTTTTTTTTACTGGGATTCCATTATTTGCTTGCCAACTGTCATATTAAAACAACAGCGCATCACCAAAGACAAGAAAATAAGTATGCATGAATCTGTGAAATTTTGCTCGTTGAAATAGTTTATAGCCTCCAAGTTGTTTCTTTCTGGAACGTCAAATCACTTGTTTTCACAAATATCTAAATAAATATGTCGGTGTGTTACACCCGTAAGATGCCAGATGCCTCTTAAAAAGTGGGGAAAAATTGAAGTAGGGGGAAATTTCAGTCGATTAGTTGATTGTACATGCACTTAGAGTTTTGAGGAGTGCGTGAAAAAATTGATAAAATTCTTGACAAATTTCTACCACCCTCCTCGGTGGCCAGATACTCTANTAATAGTCGGAATCGACTGAAATTAATCAAAATACCCGTGTACGCGTAATTATACATTCATATTAATACTAATAATACGCATGGGCGTGTCGAAGGGGAGGGGGCAAGGGGTGGAAAAAGGAAAAAGATACAGAGATGTAACGAGATGCAAATAACCAGTTTGCTTGCAAAAGAACCCTGGATAATGACCTTCCATTGTTAATGGTTTATCATTTCGTTGCTGAAGAGAGCCTTCCCCCCCTCCCAATTTTCCTCCGGAAAAATCCTGGTAGCGCTTATGATAACAGGCCATGTCTGTCAATGTATTCTAGAGGTACCCATGCAATTTGGCCTCATAGCTGCTACACACCTTGTTTACGAGTTTGTGACACCTTTTGACAAAATCCAAAGAGACTTCCAGAAATTTTTTAATGTTATGTTAATGTACTTGTATGTGTGTGTTAACAGTTGTGCAGACGTGAAATTCATTTCTGACAAGGTGTGGTTTTTAAGTTTTGTATATGACTTTGTTTATGTGTATACCTATTAAATTATTAAAACTCTAGTTTGTATTTCTGTCCATAGAGACAGGCATTAAAGCTGAAATATTGTGTGGAAAGATATTTGTGCATAGAGACTGACCGTCATGTACATGTGCTATTTACTGTGCATTGTAATTTCATACTAAAACATAAGAAAACAACGTAAATGAAACTGAGATAAACGAGCACAGTGTCCAACAACATTGCTGGCAATTTTGCTACGTTGAACCATTTTTAATCACCCACCTTCCGCATGAGATCTCATCTCTGTTGTATTCACAGGTTCCTTTATTCCTTGATGAAAATGTGATCCCAGTACATGCTCTCAGACTGCTTTGAGATGAATTGAAAATGGAGGCTAAAGGAAGTCGAGAACCTTATAGGAACCACATTAAAATCTGTTGCATGGTCCCCAACTGACTGTTTATCGCACAAGTAAATGTTTTTATTCCAAAGGTTTGTTGCCATAGTTAGTATCTAAACTGTTCTATAGTCCATACCAACCATTTAACATGGCTAGTTAAATGTTAATAACCCACAGAACTGTCGGTTTCGTTGTACATGTACATGCGGCTCTATTGTGGACGACTGGACGACCATAGGCCTGGAGGACCGACGAAGCCCATCTCTGCAGGTAAATTATTCACCCCGTTCCCCTGCAACTTACTACTCGCCAACATCATTTCCCCACGATGAATGGAATTGCAATTAGATTGTATACATGTATACAATGTACATAGATGAATAACACAAACACAAGGTCTATGTCAGTTTCCTGTTTCTGTAGGCCAAAGTATACCAGCATAAATTATGTAATGTATTATTGACATGCATTTAAGAATAACCATAGAGCAATCGTGACTGAGATCATGTCTGTCCTATTATGCAATGAATCGCAGGTATGCCATA